TATTTGCCCACAGAGTTGGCCTTTTCGCATCCTCCACTTATCATCTCATCTTCTGTCTGGATGAAAGAATGTTTGAAGTAAATTCATTCACTTGTTTCGCAATGCACATTTGATGACTACCGTCACCTTAAAGGAGTAAGTCTAAATGAAACATACGAAATCAAGAGGACGGTTTTTGTTCATGGCTCATTTACTGTTCGTTCAATATGGAGTCGTATCACAGGCCACGAAAGTGATAAGTTCAACCTCAAACCAAATGGAACTATTTGGAATCCTACTCATTCGACGAAGGAATTCAGTGACAGGGACGCAGTCGACCAGTAACGCACATAACCTATATCCTCAGGTCCAACGCAGATGACGAGTCCAGTGAAGCAAGGACAAATACTTTCAAAAATCCTATAGTTCCAATGGCAGTTCGTCCATGTATTAACTCTCCTCACTATCACACCAATAATATACTCATTAATGCAACATTCACATTATCCTAGTGAATTTATTACCATTATTTCTACTGACATTGAACTGTGACATTCACGCATTTACATTACTCACTCATACAATTATAAAACTATTGACGTTATATTTACGCCATGGCATTCACAACTCAATGAACTACTTTTTATGATTCAATAACGCAGGAAATTTTCCTGCATTAAGTGTGTTGGCACCACCTTTTTGTATATCATATTATATTCTCACCAATGTGCCGGAGGTCGTTTTTACGCTACCATATCAAACAGCACTTCCATTTCAAAATCGTCTCTTGTTATGTTCATGGACTCTGTTAATCATAGAATCCCTTCTGTCAAAACCGATAATCTTTATCATGTAGTGAATCATCCGTTACAGTATTGACTCTCTTCAACACCGTGATATCTCATTGCTCACTCAAGTGGCTATTATTATTATCTCGCACAGATGGTTCGTTATAATTACTGGGCACCCATTTACCGCACACTTTATTGAGGATGGCACAGGTATTTAGTGTTTGACAACGCTTTAACCAGTAACACCTAATATAACTCGTACCCACCAAGAGAAATCAAAAGACAGATTCGAGGAGATTGGAAGATATATTTGATGACTATCAATATATCGAGAATTGTCTGATCTAATCTGGCTAGCGATTGCAGTAAATGTTGAGCACGGTGTTCCCAATCGTGATCTGGTGCGGCTGCATGACCGAGCGCCTTCAGCTAGGTGAGTCCATTAAAATATGTGGTCAGCATCCAATGTCGGATACTTACAGAGCTATTTATTTTGGGGATTTATTTACCGCTACATTACAATCTAGTCAGTTTGATAGGCGGTCATACAACACAAACATTCACTCAAACTAACAGTTCACGCAGTTGGGAGAATCTTCTACAAATAGACGCATCATCGGGAAAATTACCGTAACACTGTCAAAAGTTCACACCTATATCATGAACACAATTTATACAGACTGTTGTGTCTTGTTACTGAGGTTCAGTATGGCCCACGATGCTACAGATCTAGGAACAAAAACGACTGAGGTTCAGTAAAGAAGTTGGAATCCCACATCAAGTTACGAAGCAACAGTCGAGCCAGAGTGTGCACTACAAAACAGAAAGAGCCAAATTAATGTTCGTCGCAATGATTTTGTGGTTTTGCTGCAGCAAAACACCACTTAAATACGAGAACACTTAATATTCATGCAATTGAATTACGAAACGGCCGCCAAATGTCAGGCCATCCAAGGTTGTTTAGACGAGACAGCGGAAGGCTTAGAGTGAACCTGACTTTTCACTGTGCCATATGTGACAAGGGTAAAATTAACGGTTTTTAAACATTCAACATCTATCTATCCTACTATATACTACTATTTTAGCAAACAAATTACCTATAATCTCTGAATTTTCTCCTTCAGTAATACAACAGGTTTCTTTCGTTAATTAGGGGTCTGTTTTATTTTGGCAAATTTAAGAGCATGGTGATATGAAGTTATTAGATTAGCTTATCCTCCACTTCTGATATCCTGACACAAACCCCGTTAGCTGTAATTTTATTTTTTGTAACCACCTATTTTCCAAGATGGTGACTGATTGCTTCTTTGTTCTCAGTAAACCTAGTAACTCCGTTCTTGTTCATTGTACAGTCTCTTGACTGGTTACTTACCACCTCAAGAACGACCTAAACAGTAATGAAACTTAGTAAATGCTGTAGTGACCTACTTTTATCAAGAGAACACCATTGGTTTAATGGAAACAATTATTATTATTATAACCAATTGTATCAGTGACTATTTTACTGTACTTGTTTGTTTAATTGTACTAAAGACATACTTTCTCCCGTTGATTGTGACCTTGCGCGTATTCGGTTACGCTCAGTAACCACACTTGTACTCCATTGGCACGACCTCTGTATTCTTTCGATACCACGAGATCGCCAACAAATACATCTCGACTAAAGCCATCAACTGCCTTCTGATAATCGGCTTACGGGGATCTTATCGGCTAACTGGTACGCGACCTTCCTGTAGTGGTGATTATAGTCAACCTCGACTCGACGCCACGCTACAATGCCGTTTGACCCCTTACCTTCAGGCAGTAAGAGAACTCTTACCGTAGTTGTGTTTTGTCCGCATTCATGTTCATCAACTATTATTTTAATGTCTAGATCAATTTGGATCCTTCCGCTCAGCGAATGTTGTAATAGGAAACGTCATAATTCAAGATTGTTGGACTACTGATCTGATGTATTTCTTTTTATAAAAACACACTGTGTGATTTTTGCAACATTCTTATTTTGGTCTCATTTTAAATGTATATCAACTTTGCTAGGTCAGTGTCACTTCTATTGGTGTTTTCAACACGAAATTCATGACATGTTCACACAAACACAGTTCAATGACATATTCTTTACCCAAATCGTTTTATAATCAGATTAAAACTATTTGTATTGTTAAGGTAGACTTAAATCCAAGAGGAAACGGTAAGATGGAAAGTAATAGTTAGAAAAACATCATGGTAAGAATGACATATTTAATATTGCTAGGAAAATCTCAAATCCTATTTTCCCTCATTTTTTGACAATAAATGGTAGTTTCGACGTATGAGAAAACCCGAGGTAACTTCCAAACAATTCATACGTCCCCACTACCCTTTACTATTATCTGATCGGCTGATCTTACATCTGATTTAGAATTTTCACTGTGTCCAAAGATCACATTCGTTGCAACATATAGTTACTCTATTACAATTACGGATGTTTTAAATATAATCTTTCTTCCAGGGTTTCTAACTTATTTCTCTGCCCTTATGTGAGGTTGTTTTCTAATCGTCCAGCTTATCTTGCTCGCACTAATCTCGTCCCATATAGTGCTTTTGAGATGTTACCCAGACTCTTCAACCAACGATTACAGTTATCCAGCAGGTCCTGACCCGAAAACCTTGCTAACCAAAGTTACTGAATACCAATGGACTGTACAATTAACATATTTCAAAATAGATATTATTAAAAGTACACTTTGCCGGCAAATTATAACTAACACGAAAACTAGATCGTTTTCCTGCTGACTACTTCCAGCCACCTAACATATGAACATGCTACACGCAATGTTAAATCAAGTAGACTAGTGGTCACATTGTAACTTGATTAAGAGAATTCGATCAGCACTGAAGAGTCAGTCAGCTACAACGTAGGACCAGGCACATATATGCATCGGTCCAAGTTGCCATACCTCATTAACACAACAAGATGGACACCCGATTCATAAAAGTAGTTAATTCAGAGGTGGTAATATATAAAAGAAAGATTGCAATAAGGATATAGTACAGGAAGAAAGAATTGGTTCGTAGAAAGAAAGACGTAAAGCAATTCTAATCTCTTAGTTTAAGGGAAGATAGAGAGTGTATACACCGACACCATTGTGATCGATTCTGAGCCATGTCACCAATAGTCTCCAACCATTGGTTACGATAGTCACGCGGACCCCAACCAAATAGTCTGCATCTACCAACATGGCTCAGACTAGAAGTTAGTGACTTCAAGCACTGATGCCACGTTTTGGTTTGGCTGCCTCTAACTTTCTTCCAACCATCTCCAATACCGGTTAGCATTGCACGTCGTGGTAATCGGTGTTCAGGCATACGTAACACGTGGCAAAACCATCTCAGTCGATGAAGATTCACAACTTCATCAACTGATTTACCATCATAACCTAATACCATGCGTCTAACCTCACTATTACTTACCCGGTGATCCCACCAGATGCGAGCAATATTTCTAAGGCATCTGTGGTCAAATACTAGTAGCTTACGAGTGTCTTCTACTCTTAATGGCCATGTTTTGCAGCCGTAAATTAAAACAGAACGGACTGCCGCGCAGTATACTCGTCCTTTTATTGATAGACGGATATCTCACCTTCTCCACTGGTGAATTAAGTTGGCAAAAGCCAAACGAGCTTTTCGAATCCGTTCTGAGATTTCGTCAGATACCAACCCATTAGGGCTGATCAGACTTCCAAGATAAGGGAAGTTGTCAACGCGTTTGACTACTTCACTCCATATCCTTAGTTCAGATGTTGACGCAGACCAGTCCTGAAACAGCAGCTTGCATTTAGAGGGAGAGAAGCGCATGTCAAACATTCTGGCATTGTTGCTCAGTGCTACCAGAAGACTGCATTTTATCAGCGTTTTCACCAAACAGGACTATATCATCTGCGTATTCTAAGTCGATAAGTGGACCTCCTGGATGGAGATCAATACCCGAGAATTCAGTAGACGATAACTAAAGAATTGTAATATTTCAGTCCTATGGAAGTTCAGTTATATCTCGAATTACATAATGGTAATATCACAGTCCGTGAAACTGGGTAATATGCACTCGAATTCTAAAGTCAATACAAATTCAATGAATATTGTAGATATTCCTTTCTGATGAATGATAACTACGGTGAAATTCAGGTGAATAGCTTCCTGAAAACTACCTTCAATCTGACTGACTTGATCAAGGTATATAGAAAACATTAATGTCGAAATTATTCATATTTCCCACAAAAACAAAAAAAACACGATCAGCTTAATGAATGCGACTTTCAGTATTGAAGCAAAGATACCATAATATCATAAGGCCTACAAATAAATTATTATTTAAAATCATGATACGATTAATTTATATAAAAATAAATAAGAAACCGCTAAGTTCACCAAAAACAAATTACATAAAAATTGTTTGCTTTATGGTTAAAATCAGAAAACCATGTTATTTGAATTATTTAAATAGAATTCTAAGGTGGGGGGGGAATGAAATAGATTGACATTACTACTAAATGACCATAATAATATAACATTCCTGATTACATAATACACATACACTAACAACTAACTTGTTAGTGTATGTTAGAGATAGAATTTTTTTTTAAAAAATACAACTGGTACTATTAAAACGGAATTTAAAAGCAAAAATAGAATCACATCAAAATTACAATGTTCCTTCTTTGTTTTGTTTTTTCTCAAGTTGAATACACACTACGTTCAAGAAAGTTCCAAATAAGAAATTCAAAGGAATAAAAAATTGTTTTAATCATCATCCTCATCAGCAGCAACAACAACAACAAGATTGATCATCAATTGTCAATATTTTGTCACCATATCGGATTAAGGATAAAATTTTTTTACAAAATATCAATATAACTAAGTGAAGATTTCTATGAAGAAAGAAAGAAAAAAGATCAAACCATTTTGAATAGTTTCAAAGCATAAAAAATAAACAAACAAACAAAGAGATGGTCACTTCATGAATTGGTCAATTGATAAAATTTATTTATATTGGTAAAATACATTTGAGTTATTTAAGAATAATTGCTCACATTATTATTGATTATGATTTGTTGTTGAATAAGTGTTTTCCATACAAGTTTAATTTCTAATGTAGAACAATCAAATTTTAATGTTGTTCCATTTGTAAGTATTAATAAAAATGATAAAGCTGAAATAAATTTGCAAAGGAATATGTTAGTTTGGATAAATTTAGAATATTTGTTGTAGTCAATGAAGTAGAACTTAACCAAATCTATTAATAGCGCCAATCCACTAGAATAAAAATAGAGTGATATTACTGCTTAACTTATGTAGTTTTATGATGAAGCTAAGCCAATCGAAAACTCTTTAACCTGACCTATCCTATTCTGATGGATAGGCTGGTCTATTCCTCTAATGAACTCAAAAATAGTTTTATAAAACAAGTGTAATATTTAGGAGAACAGGTCAAAGGGATCCAATGTATACAAAGTTACAATCAAGTTGCGTGTGCCAAAACTCACACAGTCAGTCAGGTAATCAGTGGTAGCTGTTATTTGATCTTGAAGAGTCATGAGAAGCACAAACGTTCAATGATCCGTCTTCTAAAGTAATGATACGTTTAGAATGACAGATAATTTGGTTAAGATTCAGCACTATTTACCTGACTCCATAATTCTGATAATTTTTTATTGTTATCCCAACATCTATTGCTTAGTGAATGAAGTAATCAATTTACAAACGTTAGATGTCAAATTAAATCCTCACACACCAAAACCAGAATAAGCTATTGGGTATTATTACTAGTATTTACGACAGAATTGAATAGTTCACTATTTTATCTTAGAACACCTATTAATTCAACCATGAATTCCAAATATAAACCCTAATATAGGGTCGAATGTAATACAATATTTCTGGATTGTTAACTGAGCAGACTGAAGAAGCTATTGAAAAGTTGCTCGCTAGAAATATTCTTTTTTTTCCTGGATATTCTATGAAGATTTTTAAGCTAAACTTTGCTAACTTAACAGCTTATCTAAACATGAAGCTCTACGTTACTGTGAGCGAAACCGTTTCAAAGCAGACTATTGTGTTAATCTACAATCGTGAGGTATATACTCTCTGAACGTGCAAAATAAGAAGTTAACAGTAACTGACTATCAACAGTTTCAAAACATTACGTAAATGTTCTTAAACAAGTAGTATACACGTAAAAATGAGATTAGACACAAAGTTGAATTATGGACATTGTCAGTAGATGTAAGCATTAAACTATCATTCCATACTTCAAAGACGTTTAGTAAAATAACTTGACTAAAAAAACCGACTAACCTGATATGTCATAATCTTGAAAGCTGATTGAATTGAAAGTTATTGGTTTGTAGACTAAACATGATGGTCGACGAGTATCGAGAACATCTTTATCAGATACAACTAACAGAATGGCATCATTTAATAAATACGCGAAAACCTATGAGATTATACAAATAGAAATGCAACAAAAATATTAGTAAGATACATACTATTATATTCGATGGATTCATTATTTTAATAAAAAAAGGAACTAAAACTTTAATCAGGTACTAACAGGACAAAGATATATAGGAAGGTTGTTTAACTCATTTACCAGATACAAACCCGTATAAGTGACTTCGAATCAAAATTTAGGCAATAGATCTAGTGATGCTAACCGAATAGGGTGGAACTAGATTTGAAGTATCGGGCAGTATTTCAATCATTCTCTAGATGACAATATACTCACTCCTAACGATTTTCTCATCATAAAAAAGGTTAATAATAACAGATTTGTTGTATAAACATATCTCGATGAATATGGAAAGAAAGGATATTTAAAACTGACTCCCAACACTTTAGCCCCCAAATGTCCTGGTACGGGCGATAGTGAGGAGAGTCCGCTCTCCCTCTCGAAATGTTCTCACATGGCCACGCGTATAAAGCCTCCGCCAGAGAAGTCCTACTCACTGCCTTCTCGCACCAGGGGTGTTGTTTACGAAATTGAGAGGACGAAAAGCGAATTCCAGCGCTTTAACTGGGTTGGTAGACATGGAGAGTCCAACTGGGGGAGTTGGAAAACCCTGATTCCAAACCAATGGTGCATATGGGCTCCAGTATCTTGAAGGAACAAATGGCGAATGAACCAATCGTTGGTCACCGGCTACCATGCGGCTGCATCTCCTTACGATGCTCCACTGCTTTATGGACCAGATCTTCATGTCGAAGGCTCCGTGTGTGGCCCCCTAAGAAAACCACCTTTTTCGGTTTGGGCACCCGGGCAGTATCACAGCCGTCACACATATCAAATGAGATCTGTGTGCTGCATATGTATTTGGTTGCCCTTTTACCAATATCGATTATTACTATAACATAGTTCTGAAAAGAACTCAAAGTAAGCAAACTCAACAAAGGTAGTCTACAAATTTCTCCTTCAAGGGGTTGACAGAAGCATCATTGCTAAAATAACAAACACTTTGTTTTACCGACAGTGGAAATTCGTTTAGGAAAAGTAGCAAAAACTCATCGATATTAAGGTTTAGTATCAATTACAATTCAAATACTGGTTTATTGGAGGTCTGATCAGCCCTAATGAGTTGGTGTCTGACGAAATCTCAGAACGGATTCGAAAAGCTCGTTTGGCTTTTGCCAACTTAATTCACCAGTGGAGAAGGTGAGATATCCGTCTATCAATAAAAGGACGAGTATACTGCGCGGCAGTCCGTTCTGTTTTAATTTACGGCTGCAAAACATGGCCATTAAGAGTAGAAGACACTCGTAAGCTACTAGTATTTGACCACAGATGCCTTAGAAATATTGCTCGCATCTGGTGGGATCACCGGGTAAGTAATAGTGAGGTTAGACGCATGGTATTAGGTTATGATGGTAAATCAGTTGATGAGGTTGTGAATCTTCATCGACTGAGATGGTTTTGCCACGTGTTACGTATGCCTGAACACCGATTACCACGACGTGCAATGCTAACCGGTATTGGAGATGGTTGGAAGAAAGTTAGAGGCAGCCAAACCAAAACGTGGCATCAGTGCTTGAAGTCACTAACTTCTAGTCTGAGCCATGTTGGTAGATGCAGACTATTTGGTTGGGGTCCGCGTGACTATCGTAACCAATGGTTGGAGACTATTGGTGACATGGCTCAGAATCGATCACAATGGTGTCGGTGTATACACTCTCTATCTTCCCTTAAACTAAGAGATTAGAATTGCTTTATGTCTTTCTTTCTACGAACCAATTCTTTCTTCCTGTACTATATCCTTATTGCAATCTTTCTTTTATATATTACCACCTCTGAATTAACTACTTTTATGAATCGGGTGTCCATCTTGTTGTGTTAATGAGGTATGGCAACTTGGACCGATGCATATATGTGCCTGGTCCTACGTTGTAGCTGACTGACTGGCTCATTGTATTAAACATGGCATGTGAAATGCGTGAAACATTAAGTCATGAAGCCCCACGATGGTTTGATTTCGTCTGTGATTACATGTGTCAAATCTTTATACTCCATCAGACAGTTGATATGATCAAAAATACCACAAACCAGCAGACGCAGTATTTTTCTCGTTATTCCATCTTCGGATTTCGAAATTTTATTGCTCTCGGTTTTAAAACCCTCTTTTCACATCACCTGGTTGATACGATAATAAGATATCAATAAAAACGGAGAGAATTTTGTTTGCGATAATCAAACATCGGTCTTCTTTATGTTAAGACTGGATAAAACGAACGATCGAGTCTTAACACAGTGTGATATTTATTCCATATAACATCCAGAATTTGTTATGTATTTGTTCAGTGAAAAGAAATCCAATAATCCACTGTATAATTATCAATTGCCAGCGAAATATGTAATACGATGGAGGTATTTGCTGAATAGATTGTTGTAGCGCTTTTGAAGAGTGAATAAAATATTCGTCGGCCGTAAATTTTGTCTTTTTCATTGCATTGTATAAATCTTCGTATTTCCTGTTATCAGAACCATGTTTTGGCGGTTACATCATCACACAATAAATATAAATCCTATAGCCCAGGAACATATATCTTATTGAACTACGAAATGTAGGAAAACAAACCTTGACCAATGCACCAAAGGAACATGTTTTAAGGAAAAATAGCATTCTTTCATACACATGTTTTCTTTAAAGTGATTATTAGCTATATTTCAATAAATATAAGTCTTATTACATATCATACTGAATAAATACAGAAATTATCGGAATACAATCGAACAATTATCATAAACTCTTGATACTTTCCTATAAGTAAGCATTTTAAACAATATATAGTTCTACTGGATCATTAATATAAACAAGCATGACTATTGTTGTATCCCGATAAGAATAATGAATGGTAATTTTTGGGATCCATTTATGGACCAATATTATGAGTATATTTTTATCGTATAATTGTTATGTAACTAAACTGTTCATATTCATGCCCCTCTTATTATGAGCTTTATTTTGACCTATGAACTATTATTTTGTACGATTTACCATTCATGAATTATTCCCTGTCTATTAATCGCTACCTCTCTCATTCACAGCCACATCTGGCTAATTCTTGTACAAATGTTGTTTCATATTTTATTGGTACGTTGTGGTCTGTTTGATTGGTATATAAACTCAGTATGCTTGAAATATAATAATTCATATTGCAGAGGCTGAAACTAGTGTTCTGGACTTAACTGGCTGGGCTAGACAGGGGAGCAGGGCCAATCAGGACTATAGGTCGTACTTACGTGTTTTACGCGTCTTTGGTCCGATCGATAATTCACTGCCGTAAAGTAAAACAGAACGGACTGCCGCGCAGTATACTCGTCCTTTTATTGATAGACGGATATCTCAACTTCGCCATAGGTGACGTAAGTTGGTAAAAGCCAAGCAAGCTTTTCGAATCCGTTCTGAGATTTCGTCCGATACCAGCTTATTAGGGTTGATCAGACTTCCAAGATAAGTGAAGTTGTCAACGTGTTCGACTACTTCACTTCCTATCCTTAGTTCAGATGTTGACGCAGACCAGTCCTGAAGCAGCAGCTTGCATTTAGAGGGAGAGAAGCGCATGTCAAACATTCTGACATTGCTGCTTAGTGCTACCAAAACTGCATTTTATCAGCGTCTTCACCAAACAGGACTATATCATCTGCGTATTCTAAGTCGATAAGTGGACCTCACTGCGCTCCAATCTTCAGTCATAAGTTATAACAACTATGATATCAAATAATCAGTTATGATAGGAGTGGGAACGAAAAGGGAATACTACATATTGCATAATAAATCAACTTCAATTATATAAATTAAGAAAAAAATAAACAAACTTACAGGACCACGATAAGATGTATCTTCTACTATTAAATCTGGATATTGTTTTGAGCATAATGTACAAATGAGATAACTTTTATAAATAATATAATGATTAATTGATGACCATTCAGATGGATTAAATGTTAATAATTCATTTGGATAAGGGAATAAAGGTGGTAAAATATACTTCATCAATTTGGCTAATTGTAAGTTTTCTTTAACATTGAATTTTTCTTGATGATTTACAGGAGAATTTTCACATTCATATGACAGTGTTGATACTGTTGGTCTATTATTATTATTACTATTACCATTATTATTAGTATTAGTATTATTATTGGTAGTAGTAGTAGTAGTAGTAATGCATGAAGTAGATGAAGTATTTGATAATGATTGATAACTATTTTCGACAGATTGAGAATTCGATAAGTGACTCATATCATTTAAAACAAAATTATTGACAGTCAATTTATCATCTTTGGGTGTATGTGAATATGATTGACAAGTTAATGCATCTGATAAAGCTATAGAAACAAAAAATTGAAAAAAAACAAAACACCGTCTGTTACGGACTTGAAGAAACATAAAAATTAGATTGATTTCAATTGAGGTACCGCTTAAAATTGAAAAAAAAACGTACTGGACAATTATTTTGTCACAATATAGAAGTTTTTACCAATACGTAGCCACAGCTTTACCAGGATTCTCAGGTTTCGTGACGAATATTTAATCATTAAAACAACCGATTCGGTATACAGTGTAATAATTTCAACTTCAACGAATATAAAAGATTGATATGTTTACTAGTGATTTATTCGACTGCTGAGAGAATGGTATATGAAAATGATTTTTTTCCTAATTGCCAGCGACATGTAGTCAAATTTTGAGAAGTAATTGTGTGACTTAATCAACTGGTTATGGGTGCGTAACTGTATGATGTGGTAAACATGTGTTCAGACAGTAGGTTATTGATTAGTTGGTGTTAAACACTACCCAGTTCAATGTATACAAACCTGGCCGTGAATCAATCATATGAAAAGTGGCGTTTTCATGAATTAATTTCATTTGTTTTGGCAGTCAAGTAAATTCATATTACAAGTCTTTGTGTTTCACTTCACGTGATCGAAGTTGGGATTTCAGTACCAAGGATAAGTCAGACAAACATTACACAGATATAACAAAACTAAAGACGATTTTATGAGAAATGTTCAATATGAAAAATATTTAAGTCACGAACCGCCTTTTAATAATCCTGATAAGTCTAATTCTACGATGAAACAACAACTCTAAAATGCACTCCAGCTTTCAACGGAGAAAGGAGAACTCGTTGAAATATTGTATACTGTAATTTCTTATCGTAATAAACACTTAATTTTGAGAAAACCCACTGTTATTACCATTACCATGATTGTTTGGATAATATGGCTAGGAATCGATTTCACTGGCGCAGTTGCATTCATTCTTTACCTTTCCTCAGATCCCGACTTTTTAAATTCCTCAAAAATTACTTTCTATTAGTTCATTAATTTATATCTTTTTCAATCGTATCATGGCGCGCAATCTTTTCTATCACCATTAATATTGTTATTACCTCTACTACTCTGTATTCGCCCTGACAATTTCATCCTTCTGTACTAGTATTATACGGTAACTTGAACAAACGTATATATGTACAAGGTTCTACGTTGTTTTTGACTGGCTGAATGATTATTATTATCAAACCACCATTGTATAAAACAAAAGTCGTATTGTCAGGTTCAGAAAGACAGATGGCAGAAAGGAAATACATGAGACTGAACTATGATTTTCTAAGTTAATTTTTTGTGCCAAATATTTTGGCAATTAATTTATTTAATCAGATGTACCACAACTAAGGTCAAAGTGAGAAAAAAAACACTGCTGATAACAATACTACTGAAAAAGTAAAAGTAATATATTATCCACAGACAAGTTTTTGAACCGCGTATAAGAAGTGTATCCACTATATTTCCTTGGTTTTGTATATATTTTTACTCTATACTTACTGTTCGGTGGTTGGCTAATATTCATAAGGTCACTTAAAATTCGTTCAAAGGTCGTCCATAAATTAGAGTCTCGCTATTCATGTAACCGAAACTGAGACATCCAGATTTTGCATTAAACATGATATCATAAAATATTTGAGTGACGATTTTGTATAATTTCTTGGGAAACGTCAGTTTGCTTAAGATTACAGATTCTCCTTACCCACGAGAGTTAACTCATACGAAACCTATGTTTTTAGAGTATCCTATCGACTACTTTCAACCATTTAACATAATGACAGTTAAGTCGGAATAAAAAATGTCAAGGCCTATCTAGTTTAAAGAACAATATACAGCATTGGAGATTATTGAACTTTACTGACATCACAAATTGATTTTCTTAAGACTATCACTAAAAATCTGGCAGTAACGGATGTCTGTTTCGTCTGCGTCGGACTCCTTAGCGATGCACATCTACGACCCCGCACACGAGAATCAAGCCTAAGAAATTCGGTCTCGTATGCTCACTAGTAACTAGCACCTATGAGGAATTACCGGACTTGTAGTGAGAAACTGTAACTAGTGGAGCCCAACCGTGTAGGATATGACTAATCGACCCACTAAAGACAATGGAAGATGGTCGCGCAATATCGTAGATTGGTAGAAGTTAGACTTAAACACTATCGAAAACCGGCTCAATGAATTAGTGGTCAAGTATTCGTGCATGAGACCCATCCTAAGTAAGATTTCATTGTGGGGGGCTCATGAGTGAGCACTGCTGATTTTCATACTAGGACGAGAAAACCGTTTGGTACTTCCAGGTTTTCAATGATTGTCAAACTTATATTGTTTCGTAATATCAACATTACTATGTAATTAGTAGTGCTTTCTTTAAAACAAAACACCCCGATAAGAATCGCAATTACAGAATTACACAATAGTTATCATATTTTTACTTCGTAATAATTGATAAATGTTCATTACTTAATTAAATTAAACCTACACTACCAAACGATACATTCACAATGGAATATATTTATGAAGTGAGCAGTAATTATAGTTAAATGTATAAATAATTGTTCACTGATACATGATAATAATAAAAAAACTGCAGTTACCATGTTATATAATCGAGTTCAAATAAAATTAAATAGTTTGATACATTAAAAAACTACGCTAATGTAACCAAGAGTTTCCAATTCATTCACTCATTTGATATCAAGTTATAAAAAATATTGATTATAAGTACTAATCAATCACTCCGTCTGTTACATAATACAATAAAGCAAAGGTCGTTGTGTGTCTAGTTGAATAACATAATAACTATTTAGATTGAATAGAATATCCGATTATAGATCTAGAATTTTGCAAACGAGCGAATTTTCAAAAAATAGACGAACAGAATGTTTTTTTAAGCAAAGATGGATAGTGGCTAGCATTGGAATCCAGAACGCGATACTAAGTTCGAGTCCCACAGTGAACATCAACTCTGAGATGCAGATACATCCAGCTGACGAGTCCCGAACAGGACGAAACGCGCGTCCTGGATTCCACTACTAGCCATTATCCATCTTTGCCTATAATGCTTGCAAATTAAGGCAATATCGAGGCATACGCATAGGATGCACATATGCCAATAAGAGACTGATCAATTTCAGTCCTAAAACATCAATGGGAAGATTCAAGTAAAACAATACCAAGTGAATTAGAATGTTTTTTTGTAAAGATTTTTTCAAAAGTTATTAATACAAGATGTTTACTGAATGCTTCATTGAGAGGATCACTAACTTTAAGGTGATAGTTATCTGAAGAAGTTAGATGGTAGTACCAAAAACAATGTCTTTCAATATTCAACCAAATAAATCTCTATGCATAAAATTATTGAAACATAAATAAACAGAAAACAATAACTAGATGTGAATGTTAAACTCCGTGACCGCTTGATACACTACTGCATTACAATCGAGTTTGTCATTCAGTCAAACACAACGTAGAACTTGGAACATGTGTGCATTGGTTCACGTCGTCACATTATATTAATACAGCCGGTTAAAATTATTAAGACAAATCTCAGAAAAGTAGAAAAACTAATAGTATTAGTAGTAAAGGAGATTAAGTGTAGAAAGAAACATACATGAAGCTTTCAGGACTCAGGAACAAAAGAACGACAATGAGTAAATGCACTCGCACTATTGCGAACGATTCTGAGTTATGTTGCACAAAGTCTTCAATCATTGATTGCAGTTATCGTGTGCATCCCAATCAGGTAGTCTAGAACTTAGTCCAATTGTTGTCGACTTCGCGCCCTGGTTTAGCTACTCTTAGCTTTCTTCCATCCTACTTCTACACCAGACAACATCGTTCTTCATGGTAGACGTTGGTTTAGCATACAGGATACATGCCTTAACCACTTCAATTGGTGAACATTCACTAACTAATCGACCAATTCTCCCGTTTTTACCTCAAACCTTATCCCCAATTTTAGTACTGCTCACATGATGTCCCAAAATACACGAGCAACATCTTGAAGACACCTATGATTGAATATTAGAAATCTATGAAAATCCTCTTTTCCTGATGGGTGTGCTTAACAGACATAAAGAAGAACGTAGCGAACTGCTGCACGATGAACTCGTCCTTCGATCGGCAGACGGATATCTCATCTACCCCGTGCATAACGCACGTGGATTAAGGTCAACTATACTTTTTGAATCCATGTCGAAATTTCGTCGGACAGAAACCCAACAGACCTGATGACAATTCTAAAATAGGTGAAGAGGCCAATGCACTCACGTACCGCATCCTGACCTCGTATTACGAATTCTGTGTGGTTGATATTCTTTTTTAAAGCGACATCGAACAATATTTGTTAAATTAGTTTAGCAATCAAAAGAAATACATGTTGATAGTAATTCCATGAGTTCTCAAACTCGGGAACAGATCTCTCGATAAAGGTTGACTTCACAACATTATACTGGTTACCATACATTGACTAATTATTGTAATATCTCACTATAACATACGTGAGCTTAACTAAATATCCATCAACACTTAGTGAAATTATAATATACAGTCAAGTAATACTTAGCAACATACATATTCATGATCCCCATACGTAAAGATACATTTTGATAATGAACCAGAACAAAGAACTCTACCGATTAGTTTTAGCTACCTAAAACCCAAAAACAGCATGAATGATACCCAGTTATTTAGAACAGTGACTACGTTGAAACATGATCGATTCAACTCAATCAACGCAGAGGGATAAATATAACATGACATAGGTTACCACTCAGTGATTAATAAGTATCAATATTTCAGTCCTACAAAGGGTTGGTCCATCGCTTTCCAAATAACTCGAGGGTTACAATTTTGCCCACAATAAATGAGTCTTGATCACTTGACCTGCATAAATCCCCTCAAAGTTCTAGATGTATTTTTCTCATTCGTGCCAACTAGAACAAAATCTAAGTACTGAGCTTCTTGTCGATTGCCTCTAAGCACTTAAAAGTATAGAAATGATGCTCTAACCAAATAAATTTTACAGTTTTCAAATTCAATGATAAGTCATATCATTATCATTACTACTATTTTCTACTTGTCCACCACTTAGATAATTAAAAACACCTTTTCTGTAACCGTCTCATCAACAACAAATAAACTCACCATAAACAGTAGATTTACTTTAATATGTACCTCCATCCACAATACAAAATACGAATGATTAAAGTTACCTTTTATACATTTTTCCAAAGCTGGTCGATCTTTATGTTGATCACTTGTAAATTTTTCAATATTCTTCAAACCATTTAATAAACATCTTGGTATCTAAAGATAAAAAATACAATATTACTTAATGGACTTGATGAACATAATTGGTATATAAGCAGAGTATTTAGAAGTTAACACTAACGAAAATATTCACATAATAAACATACCTCTGATGGTAGCGTAAGAAACAATGACAGGATAGGGACACCTGGTTCCATAGCTTGGTTCTGTAAAGTAAATTAAGTAGTAAATTAGAAGTAATAATGGTATGCATTATGATGTCATCCTAATACTGAGTTTGATTTAATTGAAAACTGATTCGAGTTGAAGTACGATTGAAAACTATGGAGCACAGGACACTAGCTTCTTCCTAGTATGGAACACTTCAGTAATGTTGGGAGTAAAATAGTTGTAACCGATGGCGTAGGATGACAGTCGAGCAGAATGTTTGAAGCTGCGATTATACAGTTCAAGGCTAACCTGGTATCCTTAATAATTAGGCGTTCATCATGAGACTTGAAGGTCCTAGAATCGATTCCTGGAAGGGGTGAATGTGTGCACTGCTAAGACTAACACTAAGACTTAATAGCTGTCCAACACTCAATAGCTTTCAGCGGTGCTCCAAATTAGATCGATCTGTAGCGGATTTTAATCAATTGGTTTGTGGATATTTTGTTCAGTTTGATCAAAGATTTCTAAATGAAATGGTAGTATTTGAAAAACCATTGAAATTAGGAATCATTAGACAACATAATTTGGTATTTCATGAAATCTAATTCATTTGCCTAAGACATGTCAAGATCTTAAGTTCATTGCTCGTGAAGTAGCGGTGAACCATGCTGAAAATCTCCGAACTAAAATTAAAATACCCTTATAATTAAATTGGGAGATATGATTAATAGTACAAAAGGTGTTTACAGTTTAGAACCTGATATACAGCTAAAATGTGATTATTGTGAAATGCTAATGCAGATTTCATGAATAACATACATAGTTCAGCAAAAATATTTCTTTCACATTTTTGACCTAGCTAATTGCAGGGTATTAATCCAAGATTATCAGCATTGAACACAAACAGACCTTTAAAAATGTAATGACAATTAACGCCACAACAAATAAATTATTTCAACTAACCTTAAGAAACAATCTCAAATGTGGATATTCTTTTCTTAATTCATAAAAATATTTCAAACGATCTGGATAAACATTTGTATAATCTACACATTGATTCAACAAATTGTTCAGTGTTAATCCAACAATTGTCCCAGGATTATCTAAATGACCATGTATAGGTGATATCGATGATGATGAATGTGGAGAAATCGGTCGACAAGACGATAAATTATGTAATGATTCCTTCATCTGATTTCCTTGTCCTGTATTTTGATAATTAGGTGGTTCGCTTACGAAACTATTAGTAAAATTCTCTGATATAATTGATGCTCTAAAGTCAGTAGTATCATGGTCATTAGCTGGTTTGTTGTTTTCTCGATCGATTGGAGATGGTTGTTGTCCATTAACCGAACTTTTGCGTAGTTTAAACAGAAACGAAAATCGTTTATGTAAGCCACGTCCTCCACCAGTGATATTATTATTATTATTATGTTTCGTATATGAATCTATTTTAAAACTCTCTGATTGTGACGAACCTGACGAAGATAATGTAGGTTTCAAATTATTTTTATTATTTAACATACCAGCTTTGATAAACGGACTTGATGTTGGCGGTGATGATGTATGATTTGACACAGCATATGGAAGACAACCATTTTGTAGATTTTGTTTCAGTTTACATGTCTCAGAAGCGATCTAAAGTTTTGTTATTTGTTTTGAAAATGACACAAAAAAATTCATCATGATGAGTGCAAAAACTGACGAAAATTTAAGGATTCTGTAGGAAAAAAATAAATTTAAAGCTATTTGGCATAAGTACGATATTTTAGAATTAATATATTTGATGATGACGTGGTCACATGATGAGTTCCGAATAGGACATTCTGGATTCTTCTGCCAATCACTTATTGCATATACTAAGATTTGTGACATAATGTTATACCGATGCAATTTGCTCAGGATGCACATACAAAGACAGAGAGTGATCAATTGTAGTCCTGAGTATTAACGGAATATTATAAGCTTTTACTGATACTTTAGGATGATTTTGTCTAGCAGTAGAATTTAGAATGTTAGTTTTTCATTTAGAATTGTCTAGGTGAATAACCCTACATTCCAGTGGGCTTTGGTTTTTTTAATGAAATCCGAATACTGCACCGATTAGCTCAAATTCAAAAGAGTAATAAAACAGATTAGTGAGTCTGGATATTCTTGATAAAAACAATGGAATGCCAAGCAGATCTGACCTAAGTGAAGACTAGTCAAAAGGAAGAATACATTTGTTGTATGGTTAAAATATGTTACGTATATCCAACAATCCCCTCCTCCCATACAGATTATGTTGTCTAGCTATGGAGATATTAGCCTGTTAAGTTGAACTGAGTTGCGTGGGGAGGCAAAAACTCGCTGGTTTGGGTCGCAACTAATGTTTACAGACTTGAAGGGAGACAGCACAAAAGTGATTGCAGTAGGGCAAATTCATTCATTGTTCATCCTACTCTATATTACAACCATAATCATGATATCATACTTCTTGTTCCGTGATACAGTTGGTTTTATGAGAACAACACTCCCTGAGTTTAGAATTTAACCATCATCAATATACCCCTTATTTTAACTTATCGCATTTCAAACTTGTTGATTTTTTCTTACTTAGGTGACAACTGTGATCAGAGGCTAGAGACGTCGGGCGACATGAATTATAATCCATGACAATGGTGCAGATGCGTTCACTTTTTAGATTATTCGAGAGCTTGAGTTCCAACATTCCTTTATAAATACTTTTACTTTTTCGCTCCAAACTATATTCTTGATGTTTAGTCTTTTTCATTATCACTAGTAAAACACTGTTTCGATTGTTTTGCTATTAACCTTGCTATTTTAATCTAATTATGCTGATGTGGTATTGTGGTATATGCTAGTTATGTTGATAGTTATAAGTAGTATGTAGTACCAATCGGAAGTAGAATGCATGCCTGTAGAAGATTATGAAGATTCAATTGAGGAAAACAGAAAGGGAAACAAAAAGTAATCATAATAACAATGAAAAGGAAAGAACCATAAAACATATGAATGACAATTGACGGAAGACGTTCAAATTTGTATCTAATGTATGGTTTTCACATTTTACCAAAGCACTCTACAATGAATTGGTTATCTCCACCTGAGTGTTCTTGCACAACACAATGACAACTTGGACTAAAACACATTTTTTGCAGGCTCTGCGTTGACTGACTGGTTGAACGAAAGTTAATAGATGGGTATTATTCACTTAAATAAGTCACCATTATAAATTATACTTCAATGTCAAAAGTTATACAAAAAAATTCGCCAGAAACGTTATTATTATTATTATTATCAGAAGGGGTTTTGTGGAAATTGTAGTAATTTCTATGGTTGAGATCATGAGTCGATTGAAGCTAGACCACCATGGGAAACCTGGAAGCACTGGACGGCCGTTTCGTCCTGTTGTGGGACTCATCAGCGGTGAGCACCCACGACCCCGCACCGCGAGATTCGAACCCAGGACCTATTGGTCTCCTGCGCGAACGCTTAACCTCTAGACCACTGAGCCGGCCGAGATCCAACGATGCTAATGTCTAACTTCAACTAATCCATGAAATTGAGCGACATATCCACCATTGTTTTCAGTGAGTTACTATCTCACAACTGATCCGGTTGCACTCCACTGGTCATTCACTGATGACAATGATGGGTGTGTCGCTCAATTTCGTGGATTGGTTGAAGTCTAATCAGTGGCCTAGTGGACAAGCACTCGCGTGTGAGACTGATATGCCCTGGGTTTGAATCCCGTGATGTGGGGTCGTGGATGCGTACTGCTGGGGAGTCCCACAATAGGACGAAACGGCCGTCCAGTGCTTCCAGGTTTTCCATGGTGGTCTCGCTTTACTTGACTCATGATCTCAACTATAGAGATTCAATATTAAGCTAAACTTCAAAGATCAACAAAGTTTTTGACCTCATCATTCATTACAATGTATCATAATAATAACACTCAATATGAGCATGTTAAACTTAAAATCATTAAATTATCAGAAATAAATTTTATTATCACTTAAAACTACAGAAAAACAGTTAATGATTTAAGAAAATTAATCATATTGTGCTTTCACATTTTCAATCCTTAATTGGTATTGTAAAATATTAATGATGAAGTTGTTATACATCAATATTTTAACATACAGTAGTGCATATAATTACTATTGTTATTATTAGAGTCATGATCTATACGTGATATGAATGTAATTAGATTGGTTGAATGCATGAACACGAATAATTCTAGATCATCAGAGTTTTCACAAAAAGAAAACAGAAGTGATTTAATGAATCTATATGTGATTTTCAACTGAATGATTTTCACTTTGAATCCTACTTTATTCATCAATTCAGTTTGAATTAATTGAAGAAGCATTGATGGGACTATAATTTATGGATGACATTTGGGTGACGATAAAGTAATATTGAGAATGCTCACCTACTTACTACGGCTAAATGAGGGTTATAAACCAATGTGAGGAATTAGGATTATGATTTATGGTTGACGGTTAGGGTTAGTAATTAGATTTAGGGTTTTTATCATGAGATGATATCAGTTAAAATGCCAAAATTCTATTTACCTAAATAGATGAATACATTTCGCGTCAAAATCCAAAACCTGTTATACTAAATCTGATTCGTTCGTTCATAAATTATAGTCTCACCGAAGTATTACTATCAGTCCTTATACAAATAATAAAAATGTAAGATTAGCTCATAAATATGAAGCCAAATAAATGAATTACAGAAGATTACATTCAGTAATGGACTGATGGTAAATGAAATATCTGAGGGTTCACAAAATAATTAGTTGTTAGCATCAATCAGCAGATATTACACCCAGAAGTTCCAAAAAAATTCCCACCAGTATGTCAAGAAACAGATGTATAAAAAGAATGAACAATCATTTGACAGGTTATCTGCTATGAGAGTTGAAGTCAGTCAGTTATTAATAAGTAACATAGAACCTGGCACATACACACTGGTTCAAGTCGTCACACTATACTAGCACAGAGAGACAAAAGTATCACGACAAATGAAAAAGGGTAAAATTAGTAATAATATCACTGTTGGTAAAAAAAATAGTCATTGTCAATCCATTTTAATTGCGTGAGGGATATGATACTGCCTTGGTGCCCAGACCGAAACAGGTCGTTTTCTTAGGAGGCGAAACCCCGAGCCTTTGACCTAAAGGTCTGACCCAGAAGGCAGTGGAACATCATGAGGAGATGCAGTCTCATGGTAGCCGGTTCATATGCCGTTTGTTCCTTTAGGGTACTGGAGCCCATATGGACCAGTGGTTTGAAGTCAGAATTTCCAACTCCGCTAGGTGGACTCACCGTGTCAACCGGCCCGGTTGAAGCACCGGACATTCGCTTTTCATCCTCTCAATTTCATAAACAACGTCTCCGTCACGAGAAGGCAGTGAGTAGAACTTCCCCGGCAGAGGTTGTGTACGCGTGGCCGTGTGAGAGCATTTCGAGAGGGAGGGCGAGCCCTCCCCACTCTCAGCCGTACCAGGGCATTTGAGTGCCCCCTTGTACCAATATTTATGCGTTCAAATAAATAAATAGTAAAACAACTTCAGACATGGATTGTGTGAATCGAGAAGGAAAAATGAATACATAGAAAAAGGAAGAGATCATTTTAAAACACAGGATTTGAAAGAAGATCAAGAGTGAATAGATCAGCCTCACTGCAACCAATTCTGAGACTTGTCACTGAACATCTGCAATCAGATGTTACGATAATCCTACAAATCACAACCAGACAGTTTGCACCGATAAACATGGCAGAATTATAGGATCGCTAGTAATAAATTATTTGCCATCTAATAAATTATATCATTTTGTTCGGATATTTCATACAAAAATGATGGCTTTAATTATCTAGTACATAGTTGGTCAGCTAGCAAGTTGAGATGTTTTATAACATCCCTACAGCTCTGGATTTTAAAAAAATAACTGTCATGAGTAAATTATCACTTAAACAACTATTGTTTCAGTATTTTAGTAAATAACCACAATTTCATAACACCTCATTTTATGTTGTGGCTCAACAACACATAAGTTAAATATAAGAGGATAATCCTGTGAAGGTTTTCTTCATCTCAACGGTCAAGCTAGGGTCCCAGAGATAACAGAACTCAGTAGCTGGAAACATGACTCAGAATAGAAGCCAATGGCGCTTCTACTGTAGATTTTACATTTTTGACAAAATTGAAAACCACGATAACATAAAAAAGTTTTCTTGGTAATATTTTTTTAATAAACTGTATCTCTGTTACACACCATTCTCATCTACCTAATATTTTCGATTGTACTTCGCATTTCTCCCTTATTTCTTTAAACTATTATCCATTTATTTTGTGTGGCACATAACTTTTGGTGTTATACAAATTTTATGTAAATTAGATGAAAAAATATAATACATAAGATGACACAAAATATCACATAACACAGTGCAATGACCATATCATATCAACTGAAGAAATCAGTCTATGTTGCGCCACTGACTCAGAAATTAGTGATTAAACTACTCAACTTATAGTGGTATATTTTTTCTTATACGCACCACGTATTTGGGCTTCGATAATCGGATAGTGACGCTATGTCTTGAACAAATAATCCGGCTCATAAACGAGTATATAAACCCTTAATTCGTGAATGAACCGCATCTAACCTCAATGGGCAACGTCTTCTGGTCTAGGAGTAAGCTGGAAAAGAGCTAGAGTTGGCCAACCCAAGATGTGCGACCAGTCAGTGAAGCCACTGACTACTGGGTTGTGTAGTGTTGATAGGCATCGACTACGAAGTTAGCGTCTGTGTGATTATAGTGACCAGTGATTGAAGATGTTGAGTGCTATAGCTCAGATCCATTCGATCTCTATCTTAAAATATTTACACTTATCCTGTATATTCTTTTTTTCACCTTCTCAAATCGTATACTCTATACTTAATCTTTTCTACTACCGCCGATACAATTACTACTCCAATACTTTGACATTTCTCTCCAAAATTTTATCTAGCTATGTTGATATAGTATGACTAATTGAATTGATGCATATATGTATCCTAAACTCCATGCACCTCATGACTAACTGACTGATTTCATAAAAGAGTTACATTCGTTCATGCTATTTCACAAGGCCAATATATATATACTGAAATAATAAAACTAACCTCAACAATATTATAAAATAATGAGTTTAGATCATTTGGATGTAAATTAGCAATTTTTTGTAAACCAGTACGATAAGCATTAATTCCATATGTTAAATTATTCGATATATTTATCAACTTAATAATTAATGCTTCAATTGCCCATTGTCTATTGGCTTCATCTAAGCATACATCTTCCCATTTAAGATTTAATAAGGGTGGTGCTAAAGTTAATATACGTGTACGTCGAGTTATACTTCCATTTCCATTCTTCTTATTATTATTTTCATTATCATTATGTAAAATACTTTCATCAATACAACATTCTTCGCATAACATCACTGAGCCAGAAGTAGTTGTAACTGTTTGAGGAAGGCATGAATTATTAATATTGGATGTAATGCAGGAATCTGTTATGGAGTGCCTAGCTATGGTAGTAGTAACAGTATTGATACAATTATCAGAACGTAAATTATATGAAAAATCATTATGTTGGGAGAAGTGTTCATCATTATGATTGTTGTTGATTCCTGTATATGTAGTGTTGTTTTTCGTTTGAGTTTGTAGATCAGATGAACTTAAAGAGTTTAACTCTTCATTTGAGATTTGCTTTGACAGATTGTAAGCTAAAATGAAAGGAATTCATACATACATATTAACTTCAAGAAAGCTAAATCATGTACATTTAAAAGGTTAACTACAATTTTTCTCTAAGTGAAAATAAACTTCACAAAACACTAATTTCTATAGAAAAAAAATTATATCAAGAAGGGTGGTTGTTGAATGGCAAGACTACTATTAAGTGCTGCTAAAAAGTGAAATCGATGACGTATCGTTCTGGAAAACAAGCAGTCACAAATGTGGTGTCTTCTTACTTCACTAGAGAAATATAGAGTTCGGTATTTTAGAAAGATGGGAACAATATGAATGCAGATTTCCAAGTGAAATATGTGAAGTTCGAACCCACAACATGCAAACTGAAGGTTGAATGTTCTAACCACTAATCCAACAATCAAAATAACTCTATCACGAGGAGACTTGAGCCTGAACTCCTCAGATTTGAAGGCAGACGTCCTCTCTACTACACCATGAAGCTCAATTGTAACAACAATAAGTAGACGTTCCATATAGTTTAAAGTTCTTATCTACATAAATCACCGAAATAGCTGTCAAGTAACATAAGCAGACTAGTGTCATGAATACAGCCGTCAGATTCAGACTCTTTTCGATAAACTTTAAAGAGGTATCATTTTCGTTGTAGGTCACTATGAATTAGTTTATCACTTTCAGCGTCAGAATTCCTGATGGCCATTAGAAAACCATCTGCACTTCTTCATTCTTGCTTTATTTCTTACTTCACTTCAATCAATTAGTTGCTCTTCTGCTCCTGTCTTTTTAAGTCGACACGTCTTTAAATTTGAAACTAAAATTATCATCTGTAAACTTTGGTTCTAGAATCAAAAATGGTTCAACCAAATCCATACACAAAATTACAGAGTGTGATGCCGTTACTGAAGAAAAATACACTTAAAACACGTGTACCAACGAAGCAATGATAAATGTAGCTAGCAAAAAGCCATATTGAAATGAGCTATTTAGGAATCGCAATTATTTTGTACAGGAGATGTGCTAATAAGTCAGAAATTTTACATTCTAATTAAATGAAAAATATAATTGTGATCTTTAAGAGGATTTAATTGATTTCATGTTAGGAGTATATATAAAGAACATTTGTTTAATGACAAATTTGACCAACTACTAAGCATAATCTAAATAATAAGTGGGAGATATGTTGAAGAGCACATTCTATTGCTTAAAATTTGACTTCATTTTCTAAAGAAAAATGCCGAGGGTGGGAAGAGTCAGCTCTCCAACTCGAAATGCTCTCACACAGCCACTGTCAGGGAAGTCCTACTCACTGCCTTCTCGTGGTGGGAGTGTTATTTACGAAATTGAGAGGATAAAAAGCGAATATCCGGTGTTTTAATCGGGTTGATGGATACGGAGAATCCACCTATGGAATTTGGAAATTCTGACTCTAAACCACTGGTGCATATGGGCTCCAGTATCCTGAAGGAACAAACGGCATATGAACCTATTGTTCGCCACAGGTCATCATTGGACTGTATCTCCTAACGTTGTTCTACTGCCTTATGGATTAGACCTCTAGGTCAAGGGCTACAAGTTTGGCCCTCTAAGAAAACCACCTATTTCGGTTTGGGCACCCGGGCAGCATCACCGCCGTCACACACATCAATGATAACAACTACTGGCCTCTTTATTATTGTGTGATGCATAAGTATTTGGTACCCCCTTGTACCAATCTTTATGTGTACAAATAGATAAATAAAGAGAAGAGACATAAGCTATTGGTTGAAAATGTGGTCTTATTTACTGAGAGAAAAACGTATAAATTTATAGATGAATTGTACGTATATTCTCCATGTAATCAGGTAACAAAAGCAATATAGTCACTCTAGATTTTCTCACTCAATTAGCTGGTTTAGACACGTATATAAGAAGCGTATATACGAGTAGGACACTTAAACGACCGCAGTACAGCATAACATATATACAACATAATTTACAAATATAACTCACATTTTAATTCTCGATTAGAATCAGGCAAACAAATATTTAAAATTAATGCTTTATTTGGATGACTTTCTGCAGATTTAGACATACACTCAACAACATCTTTGAGTGTCAATGTACAATTCAATAAAGTATTTCCAATCCCTAAAAGATAAGCTCCAACAGGTAGTCCAACTTGATCAGCCGGTGAATCTTTTTGTACTGAATGAATACGAAAGCATCTGTGAGTAGGCAAATAATTATATTGCTCAATATTTGATGAATCTTTATGACTAGACGAAGTAATGGGAGTACTAGCAAATTGTTGAAAATCAAATTTGACCATTTGACATGTTAGGGTAAAACCGTAACCTGATTCCGATTTGGGAATTGTGATCTGTAGAAAGTAGGACATTGTTAGGTACTTAAATAAAATATAATCTCAGTTTGCAAGCGGATAAAATGAATTCAAATGTCGATAACAGAATTCTTATGAAACAAAAAATAAACGATCACGATAAGAAATAAACATGACTGAAATAAACTAGATATAAGAAAATATTTTTTCTTAGTACATGGGGTTATGTAGATTTTTCACTTTTACCTCAAAGTTTGGTTTTAGTTTGATAACCAATGAAAATCAAGAAGGACTGGACGGTTACTTCGTCCTAGTATGGGATGCCTAAACAGGGATTAAACACAAGACCTTCATACCATGAACTTTCTTATACTATATTATATGCATTATACATTATACTACATTAAATTTACGGGTGAAAAGTGGATATCACAAAAAATCACACGTATGCATTCAGCGTTTTAAAATCACTGCACACTTGTTCAAATATAAAACACTATGATGAATCACTAATAACCCAGCAGTTTATAAATTTACGGATAATGAGCTACTTGCTTTCATGCCTCTGTAATACTTACTCCTGTCACCCCTCATAGAGGAGAATAAGTCGCTCCTCAGCATTCTACATCGAACTTTATCCTGGGCCATCCTTTCCAGTTGCTACTCATCCTTTTGATGTCCACCTTCAATTCTGAACGCAATGTGTTATTTGGCTTTACTCTTTTTCGTTTCCCTTCAGGATTTCAAGTTAGGGCTTGTCTTATGATGCAGTTTGATGATTTCCTCAATGTGTGTCCTATCCACTTTCAACATCTTTCCCTAATTTCTTCCTCAGATGGAAACGGGTTTGTTCTCTCCCACAGAAGGCTGTTGCTGACGGTATCCGGTCAACAGACATTCAGTATCTTGTGTAAACAATTGTGACGGTGATGGTAGTTCTCCAATTTTCAACTCTGTAGAGCAGGACTGCCTGGCCGTTCGTATTGAATATTCTCACTTTGATAATGGTTGACAGCTGTCTTGAATTCCATATGTTCTTCAACTGTAGGTATGTTGTCCATACTTTGTCAATCATAGCCCTTACTTCTGCATCAGGTCCTCCTTATTTATCGATGATGCTACCCAGATACATGACTGCTTTCACTTATTCCAGAGTTTTTTTCCGTCAAGTGTGACAGGGTTGGTGTTCTCCGTGTTGTATTTGAGGATCTTGATTTTTCCTTTGTATATGTTGAGCTCTATTGATGCAGGGGTTTTTGCTAAACTGTCTGACTAGACCTACATTTGTCGATGTGCGAAGTTCATATCATCTAGTTGCAACCAACCTGTTCATTTTATTCCGTGCTTCCCATCGGATGCCATGGTCTTCATAATCCAATCAACCACCGGAATAAAGAGAAAGGGGGATAGTAAGCAGCCTTGTCTGACTCAGGCCGTAACTACGAATTCATTTGTCATCTATCCTGTCCTCCATGCACCACATTGCAGTGTAGTCGATTGTAACAATTTCGGATGATGTTGACGATTTCCTTAACAACTCACACCATAGTGTCGAAGAAGTTTACAGAAAGTTCCACTTTTAGCGGATTCTCTATTCACTGCAAGATATATGTTTTAAATAAAGTCACATTAATTGTAACTTGGGCATATGAGGATTCAACATTATTTCGTGCGGGAGGATAAAGTCAGAAAATTTAAAGTCAAGATCCAAAACTTCGAGTCTTAAAATAAGGGAGGTGATATGACGGGGTGAAAAGTTAAAATTAGATTGATTTACTCATTATGATTTTTGTTCAACATTACTTCCATTTTGACTCAATGCAATGATTACTCGATGTAGTATTTGTTTTCTTTTCTCGTATGATATTTTATTCTATATAACATACGATATTCTTGTATTCATTTAACGTGAACTATGCTCAATATGTGATTTGTTATAACTAAGTGTATTTCATATATGTGATTACTATTCAAAATGGGTGTACGAATCAGTATATAAATGAGTGTATGTTAGACTAGAGTCGTCGTGTTTTGGGAGTTAATAGATCTTCACTTGCATTAGTCTTTGAGTACATACTTTCGCACTGTGAGAATTGCAGTGGGTCCTCGCTTTACAAGTATAAGTGATAAGCGATTCCGACATAACAATCAGAGACGTCCAGATATAACCATTGGTGACGCATTTATAACAGTCGACCACCTGACATAACACTTTTATGTCCTTGACAGGGTCTTTCTGGTTTATTATATTTCCCTGCTAGTTTCTTCGTTGTGTCACATAGCTATCTCATATTTCCTTCGCTTACAACTTTTTCCACTGTTGTTGCTAGCTCCTCCACGTATTTCTACTTGTCGGCTGTAATGCTCCTATTCACTTGCTTGTTTGCTTCTGCATATTCAGCTTGTGCTTTGACTTTCAGTGTTCTTATTCGGCTGTCGCTAATTTCCGCTTTCTTGTTCTTCTTTTCTTGAATCTTTTCCAGGGTTTAGATGGAGATCCATTTCTTATGACGATGTTTCTTGCGGCCCAGCACCTCCTGATACGTTGACGTCAGTGCTTCTTTGGTCCCTTTCGAGTTGTACACCATAGTAATTTCTTCTTTCTGTAAATCCTGTAGGGCTTGGAAGTTGTTGGAAGTTATCTTGAATTGGTTAGGTTTATCAGTATCTCGAAGGACAGCTGTGTTGGACATTTTGAATGCTGTTTACTCAGTTGTCAAGTACGTCTTTAGCTTTAATTTCACCTTGGCAACCACCAGGTAGTGATCTGAAACCATGCCAACTGTTCTCCTAATTCTCACGTCTTCAATTGATCTTGCAGCTTTTTTTAGTGATGCAAATATGATTGATCTAGTTCTCTGTAGTGTGATCCGGTGCAACCCATGTAGTTTTGTGGGGGAATATAATGCAGCTTGTAACCAATTTGTTGAATGCCCATAGATTTGCAAACCTCTCCCATGTTCATTTCTTTCGCCCAGTCAGTCCATGTCGTCCAAGGATATCCTCATACCTCTTGTTATCCATCTCGACTTTGGAGTTTAGGTCTCTCATCAGGATGATCTGGTCCTTTCCTAAGCATTTTGTTATGATCAGTTGCAGCATCTCGGAAAACTGATTTTATCGTCATCATTGCTATCATTGGTGGGTGCATAACATTGGATAACATTCGGTGTGATTCCCTCCTTTGTTTTATTGATGTTTAGATGATTCTGGGTCTATGAGATTCCCATCTTACAGGTACTTTATGTGCTTCTTTGGACAGCATCAGAGCAACTCCCTGAGTGTGTGGAGCATTTTCCTCTTCGTGACAGGAGTACAACAGCGTCTCTCCCGTATCTAGCCTTTGCTGTCCAGATTCGTTCCAATGGTTTTCACTGATTGCAAGGACCGCCAAGTTGTATCTCCTCATTTCAGTTGCTATTTGACTGATCATTCCGGTCTCCCACACTGCCCAGACGTTCCATTTACCTATAAAAATTGTTGCTCTGTTTGTTAGAAGTGATTTCATCCTCCTGACTTCCGAAGAATCTCAGCTATCATCATGAGGCGTCATAATTCTTCCTTCAACTCCCGGGGCAGAGTTTTAATGCTTTGAGTTGTTTAACCTGGTTAGCTATTTTTAGCAAGGTCGTTGTCTACGGGATGGGGTTGTCGACCCCACACCCAACCCTCCTCGTTTACCCGGGCTTGGGACCGGGAGTAGCCCTAAAAGAGCTACAGGCGGAGTTTCATGCCTCTGTATACAATATCCTTCAACACTCTTTGAAGGATTAATCACGTACTCTCTTCAGAATTTATATCGACCAGCTTGTTTTATTTAATTCCTTAATTTTGGTGATAATAAAATTAGTTTAAAACCTTAACGGGAATCGTTCAAATGTACTACCCTAACTAAACCACTACAATGACGCTAACAACAAGATTGTACACTTTTATATATTTATTTCGTTTACAAATAAAATAAACACTTACCTTCTTTCTGGTGAATCCTGTTAATGATGGTAAATTTCGATTCTCATTTAAATTTAAAGAAGATAATGTAGAGAAACTTTCAGATTTGACCATCACATTAGTTATTGTAGACGGTATTGAATTTGATCCCGATTTAAATGATCCTATAGATGAGATTTCCTCTTGTGTATCCAATTTAGAGAAACGTGGTATTGTACCTACAGACATATGACGACAATAACTAGAATTTTGTCCCAATAAGTAATACCATTGTGATTTAGAAAAATCTTGACTAATTACTTCTAATGAAGGTAAACTAACTGAAATATGTTCAGATGTGTAACATTTTAAATTGGCTTTTTGTAAATCTAAATCTTGTGATATTGATTCTTTGAACAAATTCATCGAGTTATTGTCTTCTGAATCAGTTAATAGTTTCAATGATTTTTGTTTTAATCTTCGAATATTAAATGACATACCTCCAAGGAAAATTGCATTTTCATAACCAAATCTATATAGAAGAAAACATAATTATAAAATAGATCCGTATATTTTATAATGACAAATTATATAATGTAATTAAAAATAAATCGACTTATAAAAATTATATGAATTTCTAAAGTCAAGGTTATTAACAATTATTGGCTAAACTTATAATTTGGTTAAGAATTGGACAATACGAGAACATATAAGTGTACTCACAGTCGATTTGGTAGAAAACACGTCAAATGTGTAACACAGTGTATATATATATACATATAAACGTACATTAAACTTACGCAACTATGTTATGTCAGCATTTACTAACACTAACAGTAGAAATTAGGTTTTACATTGGTACATAAAATAAAATTGAGTAGGTCGCTATAACGGAGGAAAGTGTAAATTCAAATCTTAAATCACTCAGTGACTCATCATCTGTAACCATAATGAATATATTGTTATAACCAGCATTATGAAGTTTAAGCTTTGGTGATTCTGTTTCGATAAATTGGCAGTTATAATTATCAAACACAATTAAAATATAATTTCATTCATAGGCTTAGTTCAGTTGAAAGGACGATTGAAAATACTGGAAGATAATCGAATAGAAATTTCATCATAGTCTAGGACTTCATAACAGTGAGCAAACATTAACAGCCTCAAAAAAAAGATGAAGTTCCAGAATCGTCAAATCTCGTCTTATTATTTATTATTTATTTATTTGAACACATAAATATTGGTACAAGAGAGCGCCAATATATATGCGCCACACAAAACAATGGGAATTCGAAGAGAAGTAGAAAGAAAAAAAACTAAGGAACGCAAAAGAAAAAGAGAGTAATGACGAAGAGGTACAATCAGAAGAAATCTTTCAGGTAAAGGAGACACAACCACTTTTTATGAAGAAAGTAAAAGAAGGTTACAGCAGGATCGCCACTGGCTTCTATTCTGAGCCATATCTGATAACGTCTCTAGCCACTGTGTAGCACCATCTCTCGGACCCCAACCAGGGAGTCGTGAAGGACCAACACAAGCCAGTCCTTTGCAGCTTTCTTTCATGCCACGACACCATGTCATGCACTGACCACCTCTCCGCTTCTTCCAACCAGTCCCAGAGTCGGCAAATAATGCACGACGTGGAATTCTCTGGGACGACATTCGGAGAACATGTCCAAGCCACCGAAGTCGGTGTTTCAAGATGGTGACACCAATTGAGTTATCATCTCTGTGCCCGAACACACGATGCCGAACCTCTGCATTACTGACATGGTGTTGCCACTGAATGTCAGCAATCCTTCGGAGACAGCGATGATCGAACACAGAGAGTCGTCTAACGTCCTCAACTCGGAGAGGCCAGGTTTCACAAGCATAGAGCAGAACTGCTCTCACCGACGCGTTGTAGATCCGGCCTTTTACAGCCAGACTAACATCACGAAGGCGCCAAAGGTGGCCCAGATTGGCATAAGCCGCTCTGGCTTTCACTATTCGTGCATTGATCTCATCACTCACACCCCCACCAGCACTTATGCAGCTACCCAGATACACGAACTTCTCAACTACGTCTATCTGCTCACCGTCCAGGGTGAGTACAGGATTAGAATACTGCCAGTCTTGTAGAAGTACTTTGCACTTCGAAGGTGCAAAGCACATACCATACCTACGGACATTGATTGCCAACTGATTAAGTGCGGATTGCATGCCTTGGGCATTATCGCGCAGTAAGACAATATCGTCCGCATACTCAAGGTCGAGAAGTCTTTCTCCAGGCAACAGATCCACACCACCATTACTTACATTCATCAGAGCTGTTTCCAGAATGTCATCGATGGCAAAGTTGAAGAGGAATGGTGAGATTGGGCAACCCTGCCTAACCCCACTGCTCGAATGGAACAATGGAGAGAGGTGGTTGTATGCCCTCACTCTGCCTGAGGTGTTTTTATATAGGGCTTTTAGGATGTTAATAAACTTCTCAGGCACACCCTTCTTCAATAGACAATCCCAGAGAACAGTCCTATCCAACGAATCGAAGGCAGCCCTGATGTCAAGAAACACTACGATTGTTGGCCTTTGAAAAGTATGGCGGTGTTCTAACATTTGGCGGAGGGTGAAGATATGATCAATACATCCTCGACCAGAACGAAACCCAGCCTGCTCCTCGCGAGTCAATCTTTCTCGGGTTTTGAACAACCTACGAAGAATGACGGAAGCCAATAGCTTGGACGCAATCGGAAGTGAACTTATCCCCCGATAGTTGTTACAAGAACGACGTGAACCCTTTTTAAAGATAGGGACAACTATCGACTCATTCCATGACGTTGGCACACTCTCTAGTTCCCAAACCTTTGTAAACAACGTCGTCAATTCCTTAGTCAAAAAGTCACCACCATCTTTAAAAAGAGCCGGAGGTAAGTCATCTGGGCCAGGTGATTTGTAACGCTTCAAGAGTTGGAGTTCCTTGCGGACTTCCTCCTCATTTGGTGGATCAGTCGTCACCGGCCATGGAGGACAGGACAGTCTGACCGATGTTGCCGGAGCAGCAGGCCAGTTGAACTGCCCTTCGAAAAATTCTGCCCATCGTCCAAGACGTCGATGGATGTTAGTGATTGGCATCCCATCATCCTCGCAGATTGTTTCACTCACACCAGACTTCTTGCTGCCAGTGGCTCGGATGAGTTGGAAGAGCTTCCGGTAGTTACCAGATGCAGCTGCTGCTTCCAGCTCATTAGCACGCATCGACCACCAGGCTTCTCGGTCCTTACGCAAGCTTTGCCCGATTTCCTTACATAGCATCCTTCGTTTATAGTCAAACTCACGGTCACCCGGAGTAGACCGACGGGCTTCAATGAGTTGTAAGGAACCTGCAGAAACCCAGTGCTTAAAAGCGGGACGTTTCGCAAACCCACAACTGACTGTTCCCGCCATTTTCATGGCGTCATGCAATTGCAACCAATGCTCATCTATACTTTTCGGTGGAGTGGTAGCTAGCCTAGAGGCTAGCTCAGTTCGATACTTACTTGCAACAGAAGTTGCAACCAGCTTGCTAACATCAATCCGTTGATGGCGTTCACTTCGTTGTCCACTGAAAAGTAAGGCAAGATTGGCGCAGACCAAGGCATGGTCAGAGTCCAGATAGGTACTCCAAAAGGAGCGGCAGTCTTGTACACAACCACGCCAGCGGTAGCTGATCGCGATGTGATCAATCTGAGTCCAGGCTTGAGATGCAGAGGGAGGACGCCAGGTGGCACATCGGCGATGACTGTGCCGAAAGTTAGTGCTAGCCAGAAACAGGTTGTGGTCTGTGCAAAGTTGCAGTAGACGGTCCCCGTTATCTGACCTGCGACCAACGAGTCCCCATCGGCCACGTAAATGATTCTCTTCTGTGCTCAGACGCCCGACCTGAGCATTCAAGTTTCCGGCTAGTACTACAATATCTGTCGAACGCACTTTCTGGAGAAGAACTGATAACTGGTGGTAAAACTCATCCTTGATTGCATCCGGGCTGCAATCTGTCGGGGCATAGGCGGAGATGACGAAAAGACATCTTTTCTCACGCCGATTTCTTCTCACTTTGATGGAACTTTCTAATCTAACAGCACATAACCGACTGTTAATGGGGATCCAATCGACTAGTGCTGCCTCAGCTCTAGCGCTTAGTGCAACACCAACGCCAGCAAGACCAGACGAAGATGCCACAGGGTCCCCGGATAAGCGCACGTAAAACAAGCTTTTCGAAGCGACAGATGGAGATCGAATTTGTAGTACTTCGCCAGAGTCTTGAATACGGGTCTCGGATAGACAACACACGTCGATATTAAGACTTTCCAAAGACATAGCCAGCCCTATCTGTTGTCCGACCTGCAAAAATGTGCGAACGTTGAAGGCAGCCAGTTTGAATGATGCACGTGGTTTCAGAAAATCTGCTTCAGTCCTCGTATTCGGTGGTAACATACAATTTTCAACCGGACAGTGACTCGAGAACGTTTAGATACAGTCGGAATTCCACCAAAGACGAGCCGCTGTATAAGTATAAAAGAAGGTGAATAATGTGGAAAATAATAATAATAATGATGATAATAACAATAATGACAATAATAGTAGTAATAATAATATTAGTATTAATAATGACAATAATTGTAGTGATCATAATTTGAATCAATTGATTGTTTTTCAAAGCGACAAAAGTAGTTTCCATAGACATAAAGAGTTCATCATTTGTGTGTGGGCTGTGATACTGCCCGGGTGCCCAAACCGAAGCAGGTGGTTATCTTAGGGGGCCACTCCCCGAGCCTTTGACCTAAAGGTCTAACCCACAAGGCAGTGGAGCATCGTAAGGAGATGCAGTCTCATGGTAGCCGGTGACCAACGATTGGAACTGGTGCTCCCTGGCGGATTCGATCCCGTGTCACCCAGCTTCACAGTCAGAGACGTTACCACTGAGCTATCCGAGCCGTGATGAGTACCATATATTTATACTACATAAATTAAATTAATATCACACTAGTTTCATATAAAAAGATTATAGAATTCATTTTTAATAAATAATCAACATAGCTGTTAACCAATTTTATTCCGCAAACTGTTATCATCAACAAGTCAACTATTTTCATAAACAAATTTAACCGATTTGGACACCAAACATAAACAAAGTCAGTAAAAAGGATGATGGTGTTGAAGAAAGTAGAAGTGAGTAGACTGTATTTGTAAAACAACTAGAACTGGTGATCAATGACTGAGAAAAAAATCAATGTGAAATGAAGTTAAACATTTCCATCAACCCATTGAATCAAATACTTTGCCTAATACATGATCGGTCATCCTGTCTCGATGTATGCTATTTACTAGTGTAAAAGTTGGGAGGAATTTTAGGATGGTTCAAACCGGAAAATAAATGACATCAGTCCATAAAATTATTGATCATTGAATTGAGTCATGTTTATAGGTGTAGACTATCAGGTTGTGATCCTCACAATCGTCGTAATATTGTTGGAGATATTTGGTGACATAACTTAGAAACCGTACAGATACACTTTTGGTCTTTTCTCAAATCTCGGGTTCAAAGTTAGTTTGTGCTTTTTTGATAAGTTTATTGTTTCTTTTCTGTTCATATCTTGTATGACTAAACTTTTTTACTACCACCGACACTTATTAATCCTATCACTCTGGGATTTATTTTGATAATTTTCCTTCTGCCTAAGTAGGACATGGTGACTTGAACCGAAGCATATATGTGTCATATTCTAGGATTCTCATTACTGACCAACTGACTGAAAATGTATAAAGACTTAAAAGTTGACAACTGAACCATCTGAAGATCATTGTAGCATACAAATTAATAAAAACGTTACAAAATGTTTGATAAAAACCAAAGGACTTAGTGGCTAAAAAGAATAAATGAAATATACTCTTCAGTATTGATCGCAGCGATTGACAGACTAGATATCTAGGAAGATGTTAGTATTAATGGCTTATATGTATTTACGAACTCTGATTCTAATCCTGCATTAGCTCTCAACACAAAAGTTGACTATACATTAACCATGAACTCAGTTGGTGAATTATGTTAAGTAAAATTTTATTGAATTTATTACATAGATTTACAATTAAAAATTTATAATGAACTATATTTGATAATCAGAAGCTAAGTGGTTGATGCGATAGCGTTTAAAGCAAACAGTACTGGATTTGAGTCCCGTAGTGAACATCAACTGTGGGATGAAGGTACATCCAGCTAACAAGTCCCAAAAAGGAAGGAACAGGAGTCCTGGATTCTACCTATTAGTGACCATTCATTTCTGTTTATAATCACAGCTATTGTCCCGAACTTAATGTACAATTACTGACACATGTAAACATTTAAAAGATCTTCCTCTTTAAAATGGTAGTATTTAGATAAAATAGACACCAATTGACAAACAGAAAGGAATCTAACTCATTTTAGAATAATGTATATCAGTAATGTTCTATTATATTTCGTTAGGATCAACAAAGACATATGAAATATACTATAGAACTTACTTGGACTGATTTAAGTATAACTCAATATATAATCGGTCATTATGAGATATATGAGAAATTTCACTATAAAGAAAAATATAAAATATATTACTCGAATATATAGAAAGGATTATATTTTGAATAAACAGATTAACATACGAAATAATCCGCTTAAAATGTATAAAGTCAATAATAAGTAGTCGCTGGAAAACAAATCCAATCCATCTCGATGCTAAACTTAATAATTATTTATTATTATTAATGGCTTTATTCAATATCATATTTCTGATACAATATAGGATTCTTAACATAGGGTATTTCAACAAGATTCTTATACAAAAAGAAGTGAAAACCAAGGTACGACTGATAACTGCTGTTTTGTGTAGCGCATATATATCTGATGCCCCCTTGTACCAATATTTATGTGTTCACATAAATAAATAAATAAAGTTAAATAGATAAACTATATGGAGTTAAATGAAATGTTTTTAATGAGATAAGAATCTACATAGCTTTTAACTAGCAACATATTTGAGAATACAAGATTTTGACTAGGTCAATTCTTATAGCCCGTCAGTCAGTCAGCTACAATATAGGACCAGGCACATATATGCATCGGTCTAAGTTGCCACACCTCATTAGTATAACAAGATGAACACCGAAATTCATAAAAGTAGTTAATTCAACGGTGGTAATATATAAAAGAAAGATTGCATATAAGGATATAGTACAGGGAGAAATAATTAATTCGTCACGCAGCATAGTCTCTAAATAAAGTACTGTAGAGCTTTTATACCATTGCTCGAGTGCATGGGTTGTAATGCACTGACGTCTCGTTCTGCCAGAAGATACACAAGGAGAAAGATATGAAATAGATCGTTACTATCTGTTAAGGAGTTTGCAAAGTTTTAGATGCCTATCCACAACCATATTAATAATGACCCCAAAACATTCAACACACAACCTGATAACTGCCAATAAATTGTCCAATAAATTAGGCACTATGCTGATTTTTGGCGGTTTGATGTAGTCAACAGCAAAATTTGAACCTAGGTTTCGCGCTAGTTGGCACTTGTCAATAAAATGTATCTTCAATCTTGTGGGATAAGTATTTGTTTCACCCAGTTTCCCCAGTCTGAGACATTACTGCTGAGTTATCCGGGTAGGGACTAACTTACCGTAGAACTGAAGAATTTACAATCGATTGGTCATTGAGTGATGGACTATGACAATATTTACCTAGATGTTTTAATACTCCTCAAATCCTATTGAACAATTTATAACGGGTTCACTAATCTAAGTGACTCAATATGGCATGCAACTTGATGATTTATTAATTAAGTCAACACTTTTATTACTTCTCTCTCCAAAGTTTAAATAAAGCTTGAACACTGACTACTGTAAGGTATTATAGTAATACATAAACAAAAAAATAACGCAAAATTTTAAAGTATCTTAAACAGTAGTATGACTTACAAGGAGAATTTTTCGTTAAATACTGGTGCAGTACAATCGGGGACAGATTTAGTTCGAAGTTGGTAAGTATTGGTGTTAGGTGAGTACTTTGGTGCTATTCGAACCTAAAAATATTTGAAATCACACGCTTTAATCTTACCAAAAATTTTACTAAACAACTTATTTAAAGAAAACACTGTGATTAAACTTAATCATAACTACCTCGATATAGTGGTCAGCTTGTCTACCACACAAGCTCAATCAAGTTATATTGGTCGGAAAAGTCGTTTCTTGAAGTCCATTGTTTCTAATGTATTAGAATATAAGATATAATAACTCCAAACATTGATCTTGCTTCCTGATTTGACCGCTGTAAAATGTATTTTGACGGATTCTCATGGAAAAAATAATACCTAACTTCAATACTTCTATATGGTCGTGGAAGATATGGATATTTCTGTGACATCTGTCTGTCGTGCGACAACTGTATGAATATGATTTACATCTTCCACTATCCTAAATATTGAATATCATACCGAAAACAAGTATTACAAGAATGACAAACGACATATTTATACACTATACCATAGAATTATTTTTTAAAGTTATAAAACATGGAAATCGAAACAGTACTATTGTAGTTGACGAGAACACAGGCGGAGATAACCAAATGTATATTAATACAAAATTACAGAATATCTTGGTAAAATCCTCTCTCTGTTCTCTTTCCTCTCTTTGATTTTCTCAAACTTCTGCCGCCAGACATTCTACTTTTGATTAGTGGTACGCACTACTTATATCTGTCGATATCAGTAACACATACCACACGATTGTTACATATGAATATGGATTTAAAAGTCTACAACTCACTTCTACAAACATAGTGTAACCTTCATCCACAGGTACTTGAAGATAACGAGCTCTAACAACTAGAAAAATAAGCCAAAGTAATTACGGCGTTAATGAAAAGTTATATTTTAAAGATATACAACGATCACAGTGGTAATAATAATGATAAAGAGAATAAATTGTTTACAGAAACCAAGGATGTCATTAGGTTAAATACTCGGTTCGTTGAAGTTGTTATCCTAGAGTAATGAAATCAACCAAATTTTCTTGTGAAGGTTGCAGAATTTTTATAGTTTAATTTACAAACTGGTCTTAGTTAGACCACCATGGAAAACTTGAAAGCACTAGACGACCGTCTCGTCTTAGCATGGGACCTCTCAGAAGTGTACCTGCAAGACCCCACGTTATGGACTTCAGCTCAGGACCTCCAATTTCATGCGCGAATGCCCAACCTCAAGATAAATGATCCGGTGTTAATGTCTGACTAAAGACAACCTAATCATGACATAATAATAAGTTTCTTCTATTGGAACAGGTTTATACTGTGAGTTATAAATAATATCAGAAGTGACAATGGAAGTATGCTAAATAAAAATTCAATAGAGATAGTAGTGCAGTTATCCTGATCCCAAGTTGCAAATCAATACACTCATAAGTAGCAAAACTCCACTGAATCCATAAACAAATGTGACCATTAAATATCGATTAAATCGGAACTTAATTTGGGTACCTATATGTAAATATCAAAGAGATAATTTAAATAAATAAGTGATTTGCATAAATTTTACATGATTTTTAGTCTAGTGATGAATATAAACCCCCAATAAATCATCCATCAACCCCTTTAATTTTCAAATATAACCAGATTCCTAAACTGATCTATACAGTGGTTGTCATCAATTTAGAATCATACAGAGTTGGAATAATAATCACACTGAGATTGGTAAGGTTTTAACCCATTTTTTTGGTAGGTACATAAGTGGATTTGTGACAGATGTTTTTTCCCAAGCAAATATACTTTGAAAAATTTATAGACAATCAAAATTACTACTTGACCTTTGTCTTTATATTACCTAAGGAAATATCACTTGTTGATTAAATCCACTTGAAATGAATCAATAAAAGTATAGGGTTTCAGTGAATGTGAAAACCTTTCCAACTTGTAAATCGAAGTTAAACTACCAAACCTGAGAAATACAAGGACTTTGGTGAGCACTTTGTTTCACTATAGGAGACCTCAGTCGTAGAATCAAATTGAAAAGCTATATATCAACAATGAAACTCAGACATATCCAATATCTAGCAGGAAGATTGATCTTTAAAACCACACAATGGACATCAACAAAGCGAGGAAATTAAAGGAATAAAGACAATAAAGCAGAAATAAAAAGCTTACAAAAGTGTGAGGAATAAAATAGGCAAAGTTTGAAAATGAAATGTATACAACAATTAAATGTTCAAGATTTAAACGAGAGCAAAAAGTAAATATGTCTATACAGTGGACAATATCACCTGATGAGTTCTATTTCATCAGTCTCACAGGTACAAAACCAGGAGGTATTAAGTTTAATGCGTAGTTCAGGCTAATAGCTAAACGTTTTGACTTGCATTAGTACCTCGACGTGAACATTATCATATTGATTCTATACGACTCATACAGCAGATGGATATATACCCATACTGATTGACAGTGGATCCTCAACCCTAATCACGGTAAAAATCATGATTTGTTCCGCTTAGTTACTTAGATGAAATCAAATATCACTGTAGAACCACAAAAAAATTTATTGGGGTTACCGTCCTAATAACCATCACAAACCAATTAAAAAAACTTGAGGTAAGACACTATCGGATGTTGTCAAAATATCATGGTAGACGGGTGGCTTACTGGTAAAAATGTTCGACTTTCAACCACTAAGTCCAAGGATCGAGCTCCGACCCATCTAATTCAAATTGGGCAACTGGACAGTTTCATTACCCCTGGTACGTAGAATATGGGTCATGCATAAATAGTCCGTAAGTTAATTTAGTTTAGTTGCACAAACAGAAACGCAAAAATTGAATAGTCAACTGTTTATATACACAATCGAAGTTAGCTGTAAATGTAAAAATCAATCCAATTAAATGATTAAGTTTACAATTGGATTCTCATCTCCAATCAACCTTGGTGTGTCACGATTACAGACTCGAAGTAGGTGATTTACGAATGTAACTACAAACAATTTCTTGGTCACCATCAAACCTAAAATAGATAGGCTGTATCCTCAAAAACATGAATCGTCGTATATGTATAAATATTCTTAAATAGATTTCAGTCAAATGAGTCTTGGAAAGAACTAGCTGAAGCATACCAATTGGTAAATTCACTTGGTGTTGTTGGCTTGAATTTTCCTATTGATGTTTAGGACTGCAACTGATCAGCCCCTTATTGGCATATGTGCATCCTGTGTGGATTGCCTCGATATCACCTTAATTCACAAGCATTATATGCAAAGATGGACGATAACTAGTAGTGGATTCCAGGACGCGCGTTTCGTCCCATCTGAGACTCTTCATTTAGATATACCTACATCTCATAGTTGATGTCCACTTCAAGACTCGAACCCAGTAACGTTCGCTCCATACGCCATCACGTTATCTATTTAGCTACGGAGTCCAGATAGCCACTTAATTAGGCCATAGAGTGAAATGTAAATTCACTTAGTATTATTTGGTATTTTATACATCATATTGAAAATGATCACCAAATCGATTACAGATAACATCAAACACTGTTATAATGAATATGTTCTGTCTACTAAAATTTTTCGTTGAAACAGTGAATATGTTATCAACATTTTAATTATCACATATATATATGTTTAATTAAAAATAAACCCTATATTATTGACTGAAAAATGATACAGCTTTTTTAGTGAGTAGTCATTCGTACTTTAAACGGGTACTACAGAGCTTAACTTATGAAAAAATAGATTGAATTGTGTAAATTTTACAGAAACTATGTTACAACTTACTTTGTATGCGTATACAATTGTCTGTAATGTGTAGTGCAAGTTGTAACTGACCTATAAATAAACAATTACGTTAAAAATTAAGGTGAACAAAATCTGAACTAAATTTTTCTAATAGAATTGATAATTATAATTCAATTGGCTCATGATTTTAACTATTGAAATTACTAAATTCTCCACAAAATCCCTTCTGATAATAATCATCTGCTCACTAGTGACTGACTTCAAAAGACACTCCTAGAGTTCTAGTGAGAAACCGTAACCAGTGGAGTTCAATCAGGTCTGTTGTGAGATATCAGCTCACGGAAGGCAGTAGTGACGGTGGTGCAATTTCATTGGTTGGATGAAGTTAGACATTAACGCCGTTGTGTGGAGGCCAGCTCAGTGGTCTAGTGGTTAAGTGTTCGCGCGCGAGACTGATAGGTCCCGGGTTCGAATCTCGCGGGGGGTGCGATCGTGAACGCTCACTGCTGAGGAGTCCAATGCTAGGACGAAACAGCCGTCCAGTGCTTCCAGGCTTTCCATGGTGGTCTAGCCTCAATTGACTTATGATCTCGACTATTAAAAATTCATATAATATCCACAAAACCCCTTCTGATACTTATTTGTAATTATTAGAAGGGGTTTTGTGGATATTATATGAATTTTTAATAGTCGAGATCATAAGTCAATTGAAGCTAGACCACCATGGTGGATGTGTTGCTCAACTTCGTGGATTAGTTGAAGTTAGACATTAACAAAAGTAAGATAATTGTGAATTAAATATCAGCATTATTTCATGAATGAATGAAAGAGTAAAATTCAACATTATGGTAATAGACCTGATGGGAAATACAAATTATACTACGGTTCCAGAAATATGTGTATTTAAGGATATGGTCACGTCAAAGCTAACAATTATCCTGATAGAAACACTTAATTACATGAAATAAACCTAATTCGGTTGAATTTCGATGACAAAAGACTGAGGAAAACAGAACATTCATTTAACCTATAATACCTTATTACTTAAAGAAATTTAAAGTCGAATGAATTAAACGCGATGACATAAAATCACAAATTAATTTGGCAATCTTGATGGGTAGATCGTTACATTGAGTTAATAAATATTACATGATTGATTAAAAAGACGGAGAAAATCTTAGTCTGTGATCAGCTGCACACAGAACTCATATTCGATTCTTTTGATCAATTAACTCCTATATGAAGGAATTAGCGATCTACAAATTATGTTCATATTTTTATTTTTCATTGCCACCACGTTTGCGTCAATATTCAATTATTGTTTAATCACTAATTAATCCTTAATCTCGATGGGAACTTGTTAACCTCATGCTTTTTTCACAAACACGATACTGCTTACTTTAAACAAACTTGGTCACATAGTTACTTGTTTTTCTACGAAAAAAAGATGTATGTTGTAATAGAAATCCCCAAAATTAGTAATAGACATTCACGATAACAATCAGAAATAGGATAAAGTGAATGAATCATCAATACTAGACAACATCGTTGATTAATGATAGTCATTCCATTTAATTATAATACAAAGATTAGAATTAGATTTTTGAAAATGTATTTAAGCTTGATAACCTGAAGTATCACTCTTGCTCCCTCTCTCCTACTCCCATCAATCAACTACATTTTTAACTTTTATGCTATCTGTAGGATTAAATTTGATAAGAATCCATTTTAATCATGCAAGTAATTACTTCTGCGATGATGCATGAATCAGTAAACCCTATAAATTCTACGTAGATTATAAATGAAATCAAAAGGAAACAAAGTACAGTCATATTTGAAACAACCTATTAATTGTCTACATTTCAACACAATTACATAATATACCAATCTACGATATCCTAAGACAATTCGGCTACAGTCTAATCAGTCTGCTGCTTAATATTTGCATAACTCGACTGCAATTAGATGGAGACAAAATAGGACTGTTAAATTAGCACTGGAAAATATGGAGATTTGCATGCTTTTTAGTGCTGTAAAATCAAAATATATATGCCAGACAAACTTCAAAGTTTAGCTGATAGAAGATTCCATTAATTTATAATCAATCGGCAGAAAACTCAAGGATGAAACTACATTGTCTATTCAACTCGCATTAAACCTAGTGCAATTGGTAACCACAAATGTTGTGTCCCAACTATCATTTTGAGAGGGCTAGGATACTGTCCGTGAGCCCAAAACGTAACAGGTGATTTCCTTAGAAGACCACTCTTTGAGTCTTAGACTTAGAGGTCTGATCAACGAGGCTTTGGAGAAACATCAGATGCCCACCCATTATACCCAGTGGTCAAAAGTAGGTCTACAGGCTATTCATTAACCCAGGATACAGGAGCCCATGTACAATAATGGTTTGGAATCAGTTTTCCAACTACCATAAGTGGGTTGTTTGTACCCATCACCTCGGTTTTAGCGATAGACTTACGATTTCCTCTCTCATATTCATAAACAACGCTCAGAGCGTGAAGCCAGTGAGTAGAACTTCTACGGGAGACGCTATAAATCAGCTATTCCAGTGTGTCTAGGGTCATACTTTGAATACCGCACCACACGATATAGCAATATATTTTATTAATAATAAGTCAATCCTTATTCTAAACTCTAAGCAGTCTAATAGTGGAGCGGCGGGAGTGGTAGAGCTCAAACTAGGACAGCTCTACACATACTGCAGTTCAGGAAACCAGTTAGTATCGTCAGCCTTTACTTAAATAAAGTGCAAGTCGAAGCTGAGTATGCAAAATTTATAATTAATTAATAAATCAAACATACTTATCGTAAGTTTAGTGAATAGTTATAGACTCACCTTGCCAACAAAGACGATCATAACATTCCGTTGTGGCTAAAATACCATTTTGACAATCGACTGGAATAGTCATTTCATTATCGATTTCATTTAGACAAAGTTTATTACTGAGGGATAATAACGATAAATCTGAATTTAAAGGTATCATAATTCCATAACAAAAGAAATTAGAAAATAGTATTCGAATGAAACGGATTGTGTTCTAACAATTTTCAGATATGCAATCTTATTATTGTAGGACAGACTAAAAATCTACTCTAAATTTGTTGACTCATTGAGGTCAGAGGGACATGTGATTTCCATTATGTCAATTAGCCTCATAAAGAGATAGCCAATGAAAATTGAGAAAGAATAATTTTTATTTAGCCTATAGATGGAATCAGTTGACGTAGACATACGTCTATATGACCTTATTGATTTTTGATGACAAACAAAACAGCGTGACACGGAAAAATTGGCTGACCAATTCTAACCTGTTCATTCGAATTACGTCAATTAGTTGAAGGGAGATTCTCTTTTTCAATCAGTTCGTATTTGACTAAACAAGATATTTTTTGTGAATCTTGTCATCTATGATCAGTACTCTTTAATTATTAGTCAATAGTAGGAAAGATTGATCTATTTTTGGAGCTTATGTATAATTTCCCCTTCAGGATACCTACAAAGGTGATATTTACTTGAATCCTAATGTGATCAGGAAAGTGGATGAATAATTCAGTGAATTGAGTTTTACTCATACAGCCACGATTTCTTATAAATGTAACAAACTGTCAGCTTAACTGGAATTCTATCTCAAGCCATTCTGTTCAAGACAACAAACGTTGTTGGAGTGATCCAGAAATCGCTTGCAAAAAACAAGCAAGCATCAAAAAACACTAAGAAGTGTTTCGTCCGATCAACGTTCACTTGGAGTCTTGGCGAAACGTCACATGCGGAAGCTCTGATTGGTTGGCTACTACTATGTTTAGTAACATTCCAGAATATTCCAGCAACCCAAAGACATTTAAAATATTATAAAAACCCTATATTTTCTGTAATAAAATAAACCTGGGAGTAAAGTATTTTCCTTCATACTTGCGTCATCTCTCTGGTGTTCAGAACAGCTTAGGATATCAATTTTATACAAATATAACGTTAACTGATGAAGTGCATTAGTGGTTTAAGTGAATAGGCATCAGTCACTCCTCATCTCACGTTTCAGTCATGAACTTAGGATGATTGATACACCAAATAGCTGTTAACATTTTTTTACAGCCTATTCGACAGATATTAAAGATTTACGTATCATCGAACGATAACTTATTCAGCAGTATGTTTATCATGTATTTGAGGAAGCAATCTTCTCAATCTAACCGAATATCATTTGGTATATATCACTATTAAACTACTGACTGAGTAAACTCATAACTGTAATAATAAATATTGGTTATAACATGGTAAATTCTGATGGACGATCGATGTTCAGAAAGTTTTTTCAAGTTGTACTTATTATCAAATAACTGTAAATAAGAAAATTAAATTAGGTCTCGAGTTTATCAGAATTAATAAACATTCATCTCTGGGCTCACGGGAATCGAAACCTTTTCAATTAATCGAAATTTCATCATATAATCTCATAGTCAGATAGTATTGAGATACTCTGAATTTTTCTTAATAAACCGTGCTGGTTATATGGGGTTTTCTAACTTGGATACATGATATAGGTGGTTGGAGGTAGTTGACAGGATATACTAGATATAGGTACAGTGTTATTTGGTGTTCATCAGCTAACTTTATATGAAATCTTGTGGGAACTGGTGCTCCATGATGAGTTCGAACATTGACCATCCAGATTCACAGTCTGAAATGGTACCAGCGAAATATTCAGGTACGCAAGTGAACTTTCGACTGACTACAGAATAATGATGGATGTCCTTAATGCTGATCAAATTCTATTGAACAAGTTAGATCCTAAAATACTTTAAGGCGTAGTATTTCGTTTGTTTACATTTTAACAGAACCACAGTAATGAAGATACATATGAACTTGACAGGAAAGCCACTAAGCAAAAGTAGGATACTGATCATAGTTATTTTCAGATGTGATCTCATTTTTACTAATAAATATATGAGATTTTATTAAAATACCTAAAGAATTGACATTGAATTCATAATGGTTTAAATTTTAAGTTGAACGTTTGTGTAGCTCTACTAACCTGAATAAGACTGTGTTCGTTTTTATGTGACGTCCCGATGACGTATCAACGATACTACATAATCACATATTTCATTATTTTATGCTATTTAAGCAGGTGATATTTTTCATTTTCTTGAATAACTATCTGGTTTCATGTTAACTCTAAAGTATTTCTAATGGCATATGATTGAAGTTGATGAAGACTATTTGTAGCTCAGGATAAATATGTTGAAGATGTTGTGATCCATCTAGCACAAAGACCACAACAACTCCAACAAAGATCCCCTTCACGAAACAGAAGAACATCACTTCATCACCCTAGTAAGCGTTCGTGAGCAAATTTGCATATCACCTGGTGAATTGACAGTAAATTTGAACTCTAGAGTTAGATCGAAGCAGTTTAATGGATAATATTTAATTATCTATCAAGAAATCTAGTTCACCGGTACTCTACAAAACTGTCCTAACCAAATACCATCAGTCTAATCAGTGATAGATAGAAATAAACGTAATTTAAAAATCTGATAGTTGGAGATGATCGGTAGAAAACAATGAACCTAGGTTTCGTTCTAGTTATACATATATATGTTCAATTCACAAGACATACATCGAATATTTTTTTATAAATTCCTGATCTAGATGACTTACATGACATAAGGCTACATGTGCATCCTATTTAAGTCTTGTTACCGTCATGAAACCATACGGAATGAGAGCAATAAACATTTCAGAAACAAAATGTAGTCCAATTAAACAGTGGAAAAGGTAAGAAAATAATTACATGATTGTATAATGATTTCTAGCATGATTAATGATTAAATATTAGGTACTTCTAAATGAATACATATATGAAGTTGGGAAATTTATCAAAAATTTCATTATTTATTGAGTATTAGGTTGAATTGCTCTATGTCTATATAAGACAGATTAACACCGAATTCAGTCCTAAGTTTTTATCACGAACTGTACATATTTAGAAAAGAGCAAAAATAAGATTTCCAAAGAGTTATGACCTCATTAATCCCATCAGAATCTCCGCTACATCATCATACAAATGTTTACCTCTAATTCCCTTCTTATTTACAAGTATGCCAATGTCTAAGATAACTGATTCTAAACTATTATAGTTGGTAAGCAGTTGAAGAGAACCTAGAGAAATAAAATGAATTCTACAAAACCATTACTTTTGCTCTCTTCTAGACAATAAAGGGAACTATGTGTGTGAACATATTTAGACAGACATTGAAAACTATGACGTTTTGTCCAACTTCTGCGTGCCAATATGGGACTCTTCAAAAGTGTACATCCATGATCTTACTGATTACTGAACACAATGCTTCCTCGTTTTCAATGGTTGTGTAACTAAGATTAGTTTGTGATATAAATTTTTCTATTCCACAATCTCCACAATCTTTTCATATTCACCTGTAAATATTATTGAATATTCTGAAATAAGTAATGATTCAAACATGAAATCTTTTAATCGAAACCTAAGCCACTACCCCATATTGAAAAATTTACTTACTGCTCAGTTTATGTATATTAAACAAAAAAATAGATTTTGTACTTGAAAATGGCCTTAAGATTCTGATGATTCGTGTATTCATGTTAAAACTAACTATAATTTATGAGTGTGTGCATCAATTGAATCAAAAGGAACTTTCTGGAATCCCCTGAGGTTACAGGTTAGTTGAGTAGCATTATAAACATTTTCAGATTTCTGATATACTCTGAGATAATTATTAACAACACGCATGATGTTTTTTTATTCCAGCGATTTATGTTATATAAAATTTCAATGCATTAATGTAGTACTACAAAACTCACTTCCAACAGTAATGTGTTATTTGAATCCATGTGTTCTGCGGAGCGAGGTGAAAATTGGAAGTAACCTGAAGAAATAATACTCATCCCAACAAGTTTAGAACTTCGACAAGACAATAAAAAGTCGAATGTGGAGCAGGCAGTAAGAACTCGTGTTGTTACAGAGACATAACCATGACACCAAATATTTAATTTTACTGCAAGCATATTAGTTGTTTACCATATGTACGTAATCGCCGAACCACTGACACTATTGTCCGGCATCATCAAGACGACCGAGACTTTCAGACATTTGGAAGGATACCACAAATAGTAAGAACCACAAAGCTGCCACAAACAATTAGGAGGTAATCATTTTTGGGAGAGCATAGACTGCCCACTAACATTCTCCATCGAACTATGTCCTGAGAAATCCTTTCCAGTTCTTTCCAGTTGCTATTTATCCTTTTCATATCCGCTTCCAATTCTCGACTCAGTGTGTTCTTTGGCCTTCCTCTTTTTTGTTTACCCTCATGATTCCAAATTAGCGTTTACTTCATGATGAAGTTTGATGATTTCCACATTATATGTCTTATCCACTTCTATCGTCTTTCCCTAATTTCGTTTTCAGTTGGAAGCTGGTACTACAAAATAATACGAACTAAATATAAATTAAAACACGATGTTCATCGAAGCGATCTCTTTTTAACGAACTGTTACCAGAACCTCAGGGAAAGTAAGTTAGTTAATTGTACAGAATAATTTCTTGAATTTTCAGTTTATTAAGTCAAATAAAACAAATTTACATTATTTAAGTCTTATAATGGTAGATTCTGATACAGATAAAACATTTAAGAAACCAGAGAACACTGGATAGTTATTTCTTTCTAGTATGAAACTCTTCAGCAACGAACATGCAAATGATTTGAACTGTCAACGAAAACCATTCTCAAGTTGAAGCGATCTCAAACAAAATCATCCTGTCTTAATTGAGTTTCAAGCATAAAATATTACATTATTAAACTAAATATTGAATCTTGATATATCTATCAATTAGAAACAGTGTGTCTGTTCTTCTTACATCATTATAACAGAGAATATTAATTCACTTAACTAGCCAAAAATGTCTCTAGTATCCTTTAAACACTATTCACATTTGATAAACACTCACTTAGATATTATGTAA